TTTAGTAATGTGTATCTCGCGTTGTATAAGTGCAATCGGTTTACGCTAGATGGCGTTAGAAAGATAAGATTTCGTACTAAACAAACTTCTCAGACAGTTTTGTGATTGTTTGACTCAAACTATTGTTTGAGCGCGCGTCAAAGATGGACATCAGCAAAGAGAAAATACGCGATATTTTACAGTTTTTCTTTGATAAAGGCGAAAACGCAAGCCAGGCGGCTGAAAATGTGAATAGTGTATATGGTCCTGATACTGTAACAGCCAATCACGCGCAATTTTGGTTTCGTCGATTCCGTTCCAGTAATTTGGATGTCAAAGATGCACCACACTCTGGAAGGCCAATTGAAAATGTCGATAAAATAATGGAAATCGTCGAGTCCGACCGTCATGTAAGCACTGTTTTGATTGCTCAGAAGCTAAACATTACACAAAAAACCGTTTGGAACCACTTGAATAAGGTTGGATACAAAAAGAAGCTCGATGTATGGGTGCCACACGAGTTAACGCAAAAAAACCTCATGGACCGAATTTCCATCTGCGAATCGCTGCTGAATCGCAACAAAATCGACCCATTTCTGCAGCGGATGGTGACTGGTGATGAAAAGTGGGTCACTTACGACAACGTCAAGCGAAAACAGTCGTGGTCGAAACACGATGAGCCGGCGCAAACGGTGACCAAGCCAGAATTAACGGTCAGGAAGGCTTTGCTGTGTGTTTGGTGGGATTGGCAGGGAATCATCCACTATGAGCTGCTCCCCTACGGCCAAACTCTTAATTCGAACCTGTACTGTCAACAATTGGACCGTCTGAAGGAATCAATCGCCCAGAAGCGGCCAGCTTTGGCCAATAGGAGAGAAATTGTGTTTCATCAGGACAACGCCAGGCCACACACATCGATAGTGACTCACCAGAAGCTCCGGGAGCTTGGTTGGGAGGTTCTTATGCATCCACCTTATAGTCCGGACCTGGCACCAAGTGATTACCACTTGTTCCTGTCTATGGCGAATGATTTTGCTGGTGAAAAATTCGCCTCAAGAGAAGCTTGTGAAAATCGACTGTCCCAGTTTTTTGCCAATAGGGACAAGGGTTTCTATGAGAGAGGCATAATGGAATTACCTTCAAAATGGCAACAAGTTATCGAACAAAACGGTGCATATTTGACCTAAATCGGATCATTCTAATTATGCTAAATAAAGCCTTCAATTTAATGCAAAAATAATGGATTTCTTTTTACTACATCTTATATATATATAGTATCTAATTTTGTTCATATTTATATAGCACTATATGAATGGAGTTAACTTTATATTTGATTTCAGAATTAAGCTGTGTAAAATACTATAAGAATGAAATTAACTTAATATTCGATTTCAAACTTTAAGCTGTAAAGTGCTTTTTAAACTATCTCATTACCATTAATTTTGTAGGAAATAAAGCCCATTGAATTTTGCTTAATTTCCTTTATCAAAAAAGGAATTTTTTAATTTGTACAGATAATTAAACTTTTGTTTACTTAATAATTAAACTAATAGAGAGTAGGTTAATTAAACTCAACATCGGTAAATGATATGTAGTATATATACATATATGTATATATTTATTGTATTTTTCACGTTTATTTTACATATTTATATATGTGAGTAATATTTAAAATATCAATGCAACAGCAAATAGCCATCAGCAATTTACTTCTTGCTACATTTAAAATCACATCATAAATAAGACCATCACTTTATAGCGTAAAAGTAAAGTGGTAGTACCATATGGATTCAGAAAAGCTGAATATTTGATATAAATTTCTGATTTTCAAGAGCTAATGATATAAAATTAATAAATATAATATCCATGATATTGGAATAGTTATCACAGTATAAGCTTTCCTATCACATGGCATTTCCACTTATTTTACAAGAAACATTCGTTACAATATTTTTGGACATTAATTTACTTCTTACTATAGAAGAGTGCATCACATACACAGAATGCCAGTTCTATGATACTAATTATGTATCACGTATATAAAAATATATTTAACTAAATTTTACACATAATTAAAACATGAGTACACAAATATTTGAACATCAATACTTCATTGTACATATAATCAACAGAAAAACACTATTAGATATAAAATAAACATATTGTTTAATATTCGAGGAATTTTATATGATAGACAAAAAAAATTTCTATAAATAACGAAAATTGTTTTTACTATTTTCAAGAAATATATTCAACTTTTTCATATGTAAATTAAATGATACTAAGTTCGAATATTCTCTTATGATGATAATGAAAGTCTGAGTTTCTATAGTTGTTTGATTATCCAACTAGATTTCCATATGTTTTAGCGACAAATGTCCTAAAAATATAATAAACATCATAGCAACAGTATAATAACGTGATTTTTCCATTAATTTAAATATAAAATTTTGTTATAGGAAAATAAATTTTAAATAAATTTTTTTATTACATTTATATTTTGATAATGTATTAATAACTTACTTTATTATACCAGGCAATTCTTTGTATCTGCAAATATATTTATGCCCAAGTCCATAAGACGAATTGATCTTTATCATTTGAATTCGATCTGTATCATTTCCGGAACTATTCATTGCCGCCTGATAGAGCTGAATACATACAACACACAAACGTTGATTACTTACAAACTTTGAAGTAATTTAAAATCTGTAAATGATATATATTTATACCTTTTCCGCTAGAGATAATGGAATCACACCATCATCTTCAGCATGCAATATCATAATAGGACATTCAATTTTGCCGATATGTTTGTCAGACTCAAATCGTAGGTTATTTTTGTAAAAGGGTTCGACAATTATCCAATGGAACCATGGTAAATGTTTGAATATCTATATAAAATATAGAATATGGAATAAACATAAAACCATCTCTATATCAAGTAATGCAATTTTTAAATTAATGTAAATTTATATATTATAAAGAAAATACCAGTGCAAATGGATGTTCTGTTATTTCGTCAGCTACATTATTAAATGGTGCTTCTAGAATTAAACCTGTTGGTTGTATATTTTCAGCTGCTAGCAATGCTAACACGTGTGTAGAAACTCTATTGACAAAAACAAATTTATACGAGTATAATAAATTGTTATTACCTAATAATATTTCTTTTCTTTTTATAAAATAACTCACCCAGTGCCTAAAGAATGACCCCAGACGAAAACTGGTACTGTACCATTAACTTTTTTCAATACCCACTCAAGAACATATTTGCTATCCATAACCACGCCCATCTCGGATAATTCGACTACATCACTATCCCCATAGCCTAAATAAAAAAAAGTTTAATTATAACTTACACTTATATACAAACATTAATTCTGTATATCTTTGTATACAAATTACTCTTTAGTTTAACACGTCCGCAACTATCGTTTATCTGCGAAATCATCCGTCACATAGACCGTCATATATTTTTTTTATACAATAGGATTTAATAGACAATTTGTTAATATGGAAAAAATAAATTGTTAATATAAAAAAATTATTTTTACACATATGTAACATATGTGTTGATTTCTCTCATGAGAAATCAATCATGCACAAACATATGACACTAGTAGCGAACGAATTAAAAGAAAGCACGTAAATTAAAACTTCTAACACTTACTTCTATAATCAAAACAAATGATATGATAATCCAAGTCTTGGAAAAGCTTGTAAAGCTCAACTCTATGTGAACTTGCTCTATTACCACTGTTTCCATGCAAGTACAAAAACACAGGATGCTTGGAATTAGTTAGAAGTTCTTGATAAGCTTCGTCTGTTGCAGGAATGGAATTATTTAGTAAAGACCGTGGTAATATTTGCCTGTGAATATGTACTAATTTTTATTAACATAATAACATTAATTTAGCAATATATATCTTAATATAATGATAGGAAAGTTACAGTTTTTGTTAATTCAAAAGTTACACAATAGATTGTAATCACTCACCATGCACCTATTTTTACTTGTTGATCAGTATGTAAATAAAAATTCCTAGCACCTTCTAGTCCAACTGATTCTGGGTCAGAAAAATTTGTTTTAAGCGGCCATTGTACTGAAATAAATTTACAAAACAGGTTAAATTTACTTTCTACATACATATGTAAGTAGCATATATCATAATCAACATGTATAATAAGAGCAAGAAATATAATGTTTATTTTTATATATATTCTTGATAGTTAATTTATGAAAGGTAATTATAGGTAATTATAGATAATTATAGGTAATTAAGGTGACGTTCATTATTTTCTGTTAGTTGTACAAAGTTAAATTACTTACCAAAATTTAAAAATAATAATTTTTTTTGTATAGTATAGGAATAGTGGAAAATTATAGGTAGAAGCCCAGCTAAAATGAGGTATGTTACTGCAGATATCTTCATAGTCCAAATTAAGAATCTGCAATACATTTATATATATTTATATGCATGTGATTGTTAATCTGGCAAAAGTTTTTATCTGATTATTAATTGTAGTTTATTTACTTATAGAATTATAACAATAAAACTAACATGTGATATACATGCTAAGAAAAAATTTCAAACTACATAAACTACAGAAATCAAGCAACAATGGTTAACAATGGTTATAATTATATTTTATAAGAGAAAAATTAACAATTAAGAATAATAAATATATATAATTGTTTAAAAAACTTAATGCATGCAAAATTAAAACAAATACTCTTTTATTACTAAGTACATACACTACATATACACAATCACACACACTAAAAAATTGTACACGATATAAAGCTCAACCAGATTAAATAAATTTACATATAAATAGTAATGTATATATATGTATATATATATATATATATATATATATATATATATATATATATATATCACTGTATACAGAACAAATCATATGTCATATAATGTACCTTACTATGTTCATAGCGGACACTTATCTTTTACACTTATAACACTTATAATTTACACATTTTCTTTTAACTTGTTTGCTACCAGTGTTATATGCTGATTTCTTACAAAAGATTGACGTTATATATGCATAACACCAATTTTTTGTATTCTATATTGTCACTCGTACGACTGCTCTGTTATCCATATAAAGCACTAGTGCACAGTGTACATAAGGCACACTTAGCATACATTTTCATCTCTTGATGTTTGTAGTATACTTGTTATCAATATTATGTTTCTCACAGATAAAGAATAAAAAATTTTCTCTTCATTAAATATAAGCACTTGTATTAAATTTTACCAGATAAAGTTTTTAGTTTAAATATTGTGTTATTGTTTCACTCTTTTTCACACTTATATATCTTAATTAATTACCACATACACTTTATCTCTTAATTTACTCATATAAAACTATCAACACGTAAATCATAAATTCCATCCAAATCATAAATTCAGTAAAATTATAAGATAAAAAATATATTCAGTGTTAAGCTAATATTGATATTTTTCTATACTACTTCATATTAAAAATTTGCTTATATAAATCTGCTTCATATAAGTAAATTACTTAATATATATGTAAATTACTTACAAATAAAATGTTTTTGAGAGAGATATGAAATTACTTTCTTATCACAATTAATATTGCAACATGAAGTACGCAATTGCTACGTCAAGATGTTCTCTATTCCTTGCATTCGTACACCCCACTCTTATCTTATTTGTAAATCAGCTGATATTAGTAATGTTCTAAAGTCCTTTTCCACTGCTCTTCACTCAGTGATTAATTCCGTAAAATTTTACTTCAGATATGCGAAGCACGCGGTAATCTTTAGGCATATTCATGAGTAAGCAAAACGTGATATTTGTGAGAGAAGGTATCCTTTTCCGCGTTTTTTGTTGTAGTGTCGGAAAAATTAAATTCGTTGAAATAATCAACTCTCAAACATTGTTTTAAAATGAAAAACGCATAACCTCTTTCAAAATTATAGGTATTTTTTTATTATGTGACATTTTTGTATTATATGACAAATAAAGCAGGTTATGGCAAAATATATGAAACTTGCATTTGTAAGCTCAGGAATAAAATATATTGAGGTATTCTAATGAGTACTATTAGTCATGTGTCATTATATTATAGCCTGTACAAAATTAATTTTTTTACTATTAATTTATTTTGACATATAAAAAACTGTAGAATATATTATAATGAATTTAATTGCATTAAATTATTCATAGGAAAGAATTACATAATTTTAAATAATTCCTAAAAAACAAAAGAATACCAATTGTTTTATAGTTTTATCTTAAATAAGCTTGCAAGCCATATATTGTGATGCACAATAATATAAAATTAAACGAGTACACATATTCACAGTAAACATATTCACAGGAGTACGATCACAACAAAGTAACTTACATTCCTGTGTACCAAATATCAAGGATGGCGAATGGCACTGCTGCTAATAATAGGTGACTTGATTTCATTGTTAGTAGTTATCAGTTGTTTATAATAACTTTTCGTCGTAAATCCTTTCTTAGATCAAATTTAATTCCACAGACTTGTTGCAAGAAATCTTTGTCATCGTGTTAAACATGTTAAATACATAATGAGAATGAAATAATTAAAAATATCGATGTGTATTAAATGGTGATCTTATTATAATTATCCCTCTTAATGTATAATCTTATCAATAAAGATTTGTATATTTCTTTTTTATAAGATATTTTATCTTTTTTCTTTCTTTAATTTTTATATATAAATATTGAATACTAATTTCTTTTATAAAACAGCACAATATTATTTTGATGTCTATAAAAAATAATGTATAAGCTCATATAAACAGACAAAAAAATTCTTAGGTAAAATAATATTTTTTATAATAATTTATTGTTTTAATAGGTCACTGATTTAAAATAAAAAACATCATATACATATATGCATTAATACAGTTTATCTTGCAAATGATACATCAGATCTTTTCAATTACCTTTCTTTATTCAAAAGAAATAATTTCCTGTATCTTTTAATACATATATAACCCACACTTTCCCTAAATAATCGTGAAATATTAGTATCTGAAATATAAAAATGATGGAGTAAATATGCACATTAGTATAAGAATGTTAAAGTTTGTGTAATAGTACGTTGTCCTTTACCAAGTAAGAAATGTCATGTTTTACTAAGGAAAGAATTCATGTTATGGAGAAACAATGAGCATATGCATTCTTTTTCTTAATGAAATACGAGCGGATACCTTTTCAAGAAACGTTTCCTCAGTAGCCAATATACCATTGTTACTATAAAAGTCGATATAGCAATACTGCGAGAAACAATTATCACCTATCCCGTTAAAGTTATTGAAACATATTATTTATATAATATTACACTTTGTAAATTATACAATTATACGAGTGACGCTTGCGTGATATGTCGCGACAGTATAATGTTGCTCGTTGCTCTGACGTGATATATCGCGATTCGCAGATGTGTATCGTATTTTACGCGACTTGTAATGCGTACCTAAAAACGAAATACTTAATGAAACGTTTTTATTATACTGTTTCACTTAATACTGATGAAATACTGATACACGATTGAGGAACGCGAACTAGCTAACACCGTTAGCTCCCAACATTGTCTATAAGTAATACTGTATAACTATGGAAGTCGACACAGTGATGTACATCGAGCCCCGCCAAGCAAGCGTTTTTCCCCCACCACTTACACACACACAGCCGCTCTGTTTATTCCGTGTGACGACGATCATCACATAGGTAAATAGAACGGCTGTGTGCGTACTTGGAAGGGGAAAAAACGCCTGCTTGTCGGGGCTTGAATGCATATTATTGAAACAAAGAAAACTGATAAAGAAGAAACGTAAGTGCTACTTCTAATTACATCAAGGTCGGTTCTACAATACGTCATTCTACAATACTGTCGGAACACAGTCGGTGGTTCAATAAAGGGAGCTTATTTACGAAAAATAAATTCTCTGAAGCCCATTCTACAATGGTAGTAAGTAATAAGAAGTAGGAAATAAGAATAAGAAATTGATCAATCGCAATCGAATGTGAGAAGGATAATCAACTATGATTGGTCAATTTCCTTCTCTTCTTACTTTTTACTGCTTACTACCATTGTAGAATAGGCTTAAAGAGCATATTGTAGATCAAGCTTAATAACTTAGGTTAGGTTAAGTTTTAACGTCGTTTATAACCGAATTACCTATTAAGCTATCGACTTATTATTCTCATTTTTTAGGAAAATACACGAAACATTAGTGGTAATTATATCCTTATTTGTTATCATAAAACATTAGCGATTAACTTCATAAAATATATCTTATATAAATATAACTTCTTACTTAAATTTAACTTCCTGGGGGCAATAAATAATTTGTACTACAATGTGATTAATAATCAAATAATAAGATAATAAAAGTATATTTGTACATTGATAGATGAGCCGGAAGGAAGCATTATCTCAATTTATACAACAAATTCATGGGCGACCTGTCGTCGTTAAATTGAACAGTGGTGTTGACTATAGAGGTAGGTATTTATTTACAAAATATCACAATGTAATAGGAATGTTGTTGTTTATGTAACTATTTTACTTTTAAATGAAGTTTAGATTCAAAGTTTTTAATTTTTTTACAACCAACAAGACTATTCCATGTTCTTTGATATTTGACAGAAAACTGTTTGAAAATTATATCCATTAATTATATCTTAATATTTCTTTTACAGGTGTGTTGGCTTGTCTCGATGGTTATATGAACATAGCGCTTGAACAAACAGAAGAATATGTAAATGGACAATTAAAAGATAAATATGGCGATGCCTTCATTCGTGGAAACAATGTTTTATACATTAGCACACAAAAACGTAGAAATTAACTATAAGTGATGAATGAGGATTCAAATAAAAATTAAATATTTACTTAAACACTTAAAATCCATTATAATGTATATTTCTAATAGTTAATACTTTGCTTACTTCTACAATCATTTCAGCAATTCTTTATACTGCACTTGTGTTAACAAATTTTAGTAATATCTTATTAATAACAAAAATTTTATTACTATGCATTTTACTCAAATATAGTCTGTTATTGACTTCATTCAATAACTGCTTCTGACTTATCAGCACAAATTGCTTTATCTATATTTCCACTGGTTTGTGGTTATACATCATCCATCTGAGATGTATCCATCCTGTCATTAACTGTAAGATCAGAGTTCTCATTTGAAAGTTTTGCATTAATGTTTTCAGCCAATTTCTTTCTTTTAACTTCTTCTCGTTCATTCTGTCTCTCAAACTTTCTCTGGATAGCCAGCTGCTTATTTCGCTCGATTTTCTCTCTTATTTCATCACTTAATTCATTTCCAGTAGTGCCTGTACTTGGTATCTGTGAGTGTGATATGTTATCAGATTGTATCAAAAGTTCATTGAACGCATCTTCTGAAGCAGAAGCTGAGGCTAACGTAGAGGCTTGCATTTTGGCTTGCTTTTGTTTTTGAATTTGTTCAGTTATCAATAAATCGAAATCATCAAGAGGTGCGCTCTCTTCTTGATCTTCTTCATTATCCATATTATCATGGACAATTAAGCCATCATCTGAAGTAATCATGTCTAGTCGGTATTTTTTTAAATATACCTGCAAATCTTTCTTTGATCCAAGTTGTTCAACTCTCGCAAGAAAATCATCAAAGTGATACTTTGGGAATAACCGATGAGACCAATGTTCCAATCTTTTCATAATTCTATCAAGATCTGTTTTTTCATGACCTTTACCATTAAACTTGAAACCTTCAAAATACTTTTCAATAGTCTGAATACCACTAGGACCTTTTAATCTTTCTGTATTAAGTTTGGGTATTGGATTTCTTATTATATGTGATTTGGATGTTGATGGATCAATCTTTCGCTTAGTTCCCATCTCATTATTTTTATCATTATCAGAAGTTGCTTCCTCTGCTTCATTAAGACTACCTCGTTCACCATCAGATTCCTGATCCTCATAATGAGCAATAATATCTTCATCACCCTCATAATCAAAAGTAGTAGTGGCCATGATAGTACAAGATATATTTTTATTAAATATAAGCACCACTTATGCAAAGTCCTAGAAAAACACATTATGAACAGTTATAAACATTCTATGTAATAAAACTGCTGAGAATTTATATAATAAAATTTTTTGTATATATTCTAGATTGATGTGTATGAAATTGAAATGTTTTTACAGATTCCTTTAAATATTAAGTAGTAGTGTGAATATCTCATTAATTAGTTCGAATATATTGTTAATTATCATGCTAAAATTCATCAAAATATAGGTTAAACTCACTCAGTTTATAAGTGCCGGTCACCCTAGAAATCGCTATCGTCGTACGATTCGCTGTTTCCTTTGCCGTCCTCCATAAATTTATCGAACTGCCCGTCTGATTTCTTCATTCGTTCTAAAACTGATACGAGCAGTTTCTTGTTTAAACGATCCGTCTGCGTAATCTCCCTTACAACGGACTTGCACTTCGGTTCGTCCGGCGACCGCTCGCTCTGCAATTTCCCTAACATGTTGTTGTCCTGCTCAATTGGAGTCCCAGGCATTTCTTTCTGCTGTTGCGTACAGTTATGCACTAAACGATGAAATTCAATTATATTCGCTCGTGATACGATATTATATGTGAATATGCACCCGATTCGGTTTAGCAGCGGCAAGGAATGATATTGAGTGATATAGATATAAAATACAAAATATTAGGTGTGTTCTTTTTTGCTGTACAAGTATTGCATTAGTCCCGATCTACAATAGATGTAGTAATGGCTCCTGCACACAGGATGCGGTAATGCTTGCCGCGCGGCGGAAGTCCATGCGATAGCCAATCAATATGTTGTTTTTCCGTAAGAGCTAGAAGGTTATTAAGCAGTATATTGATTGGCTGTCGCGCGGACTTCCGCCGCGCGGCAAACATTACCGCGTTCTGTGTGCAAGAGCCATAAGGCTAAGATGGAGTCCCATGGCACGTATTTTTGCGTAACGCCTAATCGCATAACCAATCACATCTTTCTATTCTTTTAGAAGTTCCAACAGAAATACTATACATCGCAATTTATTGGTTACGCGCTTACGCGGTACGCGGAAAATACATGCCATGGGACTTCATTCTGAGTTCCCACTTAGCGCGTCACGCGTCGCGTCGTTCGAGTTAAGCCAATCAAATCGTCCCATTTTATTCGGCGTCAAGTTACGCAATAAAATGGGACGATTTAATTGGCTTAACTTAGACGACGCGACGCGTGATGCGCTAAGTGGGAACGCACTTGAGATGCCCGATTCTGAATCGATTCTATTCTTTCCTCAAAAATAGGCTTATTCGTGTTGTTTGCATCTTCACACTTTTCGTATTTAAAACTAGACAAAAGTATATTGAAATGTTTCGAAGAAGCAAAAACGAGACAACCAACTCGATTGTTTCTTCCAAGCGTCTGATTAGGCGTCCATCTCTTTTTAAAAGCGAAAAGTATGAAACATGCAAGCAGCACGAACACAAAACTTTTTCCCTAAATTGTTAGGGAAAGAATCGAATCGATTAATGGCACACAGGACGCGGTAATGCTTGCCGCGCTGCGGAAATTCGCACGACAGCCAATCAATATGCTGCTTTCCGTAATAACCTTCTAGCTCCTACAGAAAAACAACATATTGATTAGCTGTCGCGCGGACTTCCGCTGCGCGGCAAGCATTAGGGCTATCGCACACAAATTGACATAACTGCATATGCATAGCATAAGATCGTATGGACCAATGAGCATCGAATATTAAGCATCGAACACCAATGTGGCGACTTAATACTCGATGCTCATTGGTACATACGGTCTTATACTATGCATATGCAGTTATGTCAATTTGTGTGCGATAGCCCTTACCGTGTCTTGTGTGCAGGAGCTATAAGGCTGATATTTCATGTGTCGTACGACAAGCTTTTTGGATACGTTCATTGGTTGACGAACAGAGAACCTAGAAATACTCTATTCGCCAACCAATAAACGTATCCGAAAAGCTTGTTGTACGACAAAAACCCTATGTGAAATACCCTAAAGGTGTCATTATATGCAAGCATTCGAGCGTCGAGCGTCGAGCGTCAAATCCGTGCGCAGCACTTTTGCACATAAATCTAAACCGTTCAGATTTCAGCGTCTTGACGCTATTAGTGCGATGTTGCGTAATAGAATCAGTGTTTCTTTCTTTCTGCGAATATTTGTAACACCCAAAACTTTTTTTTTGTTTTGCTCATATTATATTTGCAATTAGTGATATTAATGCAATGAACTCCATGTTTTGTTTGTAATATTCGTTACTGATAATGCTATTGCATTTTAATAACCACAAATGATGCCGATAATTAATAGAGATTTTATAATATCTTGCAGTTTTTTCTGAATTGCTAATAAATATCTCGAAATTTAACTGACAGTTCATCATATGTAATCATATTTCATATCATCAGATTTCATATGTAATCAAATTAATCTTGCGTTTCAGCAACAACTCGCTATATATTACTATGCATGTGCTCAACACATGACGCTGGACGCTCGACGTTCCTATGTAAAAGCACCTTAAGATTTAATGCTCTAAATAGTTCCATTTAATGTTGTAAGTGCTTTAGAGCGACGAATGAATAAATCACATTTAACATTTTAAAGTAGGTAGTCGAGTACGGGAAGAATATTCGACCGCAATTGGTCAATTTCTACGACTTCTATTGTAGACCTTGCTTCAGAGGTCATTATTTATAACGACTTTCCAACGTTTAATATATTTTGATAACTGCACCCTGTCTTTAGATTAAGTATAATATGCCGTCAGCATAGTATGTATAAGAAAAGACATAGATTAAACGAAAAAAATGTTTAAGTTAGCTGTTTGCTAGCACAATTCGTACGTTATATAAAGTTTCTGCGATGCATATAAAAAAAAGAAAAAAACTGCGCACTATAAAATGTTCTAAAAAATAACGTCTAATCTTCAAAAATAGGTTTACAAGCTGTAAAAAACCACAATTTCTTATGGAAAATTGCTATTGCTTTGGCTCAAATATGGATAAAATAGAGCAGTTTAGACGTCTATAATAGGTATTATACACGGATGTTGCACTATCCTAGATCCTTATTCTACTAACTTTCCTTCTCTTATGCAGTGTGAGCAATTTATTTGTATGTACATACATTTCACATAAAGTTTATGATGCGTTCAAGGAGTTCGCTATTAGCGCTATCGCGTCATTCTATCTTTATCTTTCCTTAGGTATATGACAAAGATGGAATGACATGTAACGCTAATAGCGAATTTCCGAACGTATTCATAGTGACCAATTGTAGCACTAGCGCCGTTAACGCAATATCCGTGAACTATTATGGACGTCTAAACTGCTCTGTTTTATCTATATTTTAGCAAAAAGTAATTGCAATTTTCCCTAAGAAATTGTGGTTTTTTAAAGCTTCTAAACATATTTTTGAAGATTGGACATTATTCCTCAGAACATTTTGTAGTGAGCTGTTATTTCCTTTTTTTTATATGCATCGCAGAAATTTTGTATAACCTACGAATTGTGCTAGCAAACAACTAACTTAAAAAATTTTTTCCGTTTTCGATGAAAATATTATAACTGCGCAGTGTGTTTTAATGAGTACTTTAAGCATGCAAAAGCGCTTTTCGATCAGTTCAGTCTGGACGACGTAAAACCTGAAACAGGTTTGTAGGCACGCCGACATCCCCTTAACATATAAATTTACTTTGTTTGAAATCAGATTATATTAGTACAGAAACTAATGATAAAATGAAGTAATTTACAAGTTTTGGAAATAATAGCTTCTCTCCGATATTTGGATAAGGGAAATATAATTTATCATTCACGCAAATAAAGTCTCGCATGACTGGGAGTATATTAATCGAATCGAAGTTCGCGCAATCGCAAAAACATGTGCTGCGAGTTTAAGCGTACCAAGAGGTTGATTTATCGATGCCAAGTTCGAAAACTAATAGAACACCAATCTGAAACGGGGATGAATCAACTCAATGATAGCGCGAATATGCCGGCCATATGAACGAATTCAAATATTCTTGTATGCAATCAAGAATTCGGAAATCGAATGTCGCACGGTTCCTTGATAATTTCGGATCAATGATTCCGTATTATTAACCCGCGAATTACTATTTGCATTCCGCGAACAATAATTAATTTTATATGCGTATTGCTACTACTCTATTTTTTATTAGAACAATAAGAATATATAATTAGCGCTGAAAGTAACTGCAGTTTTAGTAACATTATCCATTTCTGTCATATTAAAGTCTCGTACTATAATATTAATAATAATAATTAACCTTATACGTATTGCCAGTAAGTAAAATAAATAGAACGTTATTGCAATGATATTCGATAGCGTATAAGATTTTCTAATATATAGTTTTTAACATTACATCAACAGCATTACGAGTAGCTTTGACACTTTAATATTTCCAATACATTTTCACGATATTCAAAAAAAGATCATTTTATCCGGTACAATATTTTGTAATAATTGAAATATTATTAAAGTATTCAGCAAAAACGTTTAAAAAATATACATGAAATAAATATTTCGAGATCTTGATATAATGTTCCCCAGCAGAAATATTCAAAATATATCATGGAAATATTCTAAAAATGTTATGAAAATCTTTAGGATATCTCAATGATACATTTTGAACATTTTTGTTGTGTGAGTCTTTGTTTACTGAATTGCTGCTACTATTTCTCGTTAGAACAACAAGAATATATAATTGGCGCTAAAAGTAACTTTAGTTAATTAATTTAGTTAAGTAATTTTAGTGGCATGTCCCAAATACATCATAGGGATATCTTGAAGATATTATATATCTCAAATATATCTTTAGAATATCCCTATGATATATTTTGGACATCTCTGCTGTGTGGGAATGTAGACGCGCACATACCATCTTCGAAAAGTTCGCAAATATCACGCGTGCATATGTGCACATTTCGATGACTAAGTGAATCAAGATGCATTACATCAAGCTGCTTTCGTCGCAGACAAACAAACAATTATATTTTTATTTGGGGGAGATAGCGTGACAGGAATTTCGGTGCAGCTGTAAGACAACGTGTACGGCGCGTATAACGGACATTGCGAAATTATCCGTAATTGCAGTGTTAAGCAACAAAATATTCGGACCTAGAAGAAATCCGAAATCGATATATTCAACGGTTGTTTTGTTGTTTTCTACACACAGAGCACTGTCCGAGCCGAGCTTTTCTATTGGCAAATGTCCACGCGCGCTTTTGCGTCCCATCTGTCATACTCATCGTGTCAAATGTCCGGAAATCTATCTGGCACATGTTTGCGAAAATATATGCTCGTACCTACATGCACGTGAGCTAGAAGGCAAGAAACATATATACCTTGCCGTACGTGTGTTTTTATTGTTAAGTTATTTATCAGTGGTAACTATCTTATACAATTGCGGCTTCTTCCAACTGCGGATGTATTGCGCGACGCGTGAAACCGCGACGTATACGTGTCTCGAAAGAAATCGTAGAGCAAAAGGAACTTGTCAACTTCTAGGATAACTAGAAATATAATGCGTTTGCAGACATGCGCGTAGCAGTAAAAAACAAGTGTTATGTAGTGAAAGCGAGCAAACCTGTTGCGCTGAAGGTGAAATGCGTTTTTCTTGCGAAGTACTTTCGTACTTCGACGCAAATTCTCTCGCTTGTTCTTTCAAGCGAATTAAATATTCGACAAATCCGACAAATGTAAAAAGTACTTGATGAATCCAAGTGTTATACTTGCAATTGTCTGCTATCGTCGTTTCACGACATAAGTAATAAGTATAATTCATCATTTCTCAATAAGACACTATTACACATTTAGAATGAGAGGTAACTATAATTAAAATTCGCGATTTATAAAAAAGAAACTATAGTTTTCTTTTTAAATCCATTTACACTGACAGTGCGTGAGTATCCTATCTGGAAGGGAAGATCATTTTTTTACAAAATCAGCAATATATCAATTGACAGATAATTACAATTTAAATTATCTGTCTTTTTAAATCCATTTACACTGACAGTGCGTGAGTATCCTGTGTGGAAGGGAAGATCATCTTTTTGCGAAATCAGCAATATATCAATTGACAGATAATTACAATTTAAATTATCTATTAATTATATAATTATATTAAAAATTAGACGTTACTACAATTGGAACTTATATAAGGAAGAAACTACTAAACTGACATAGCTATATGAGTATCTCGTAATAACAATAAAAATTATTTTCTTTCGAAATCAGCAATATTTATTAGTTAATTAATTAGTTAATTAGTTAATACTTTGCAACGTATTTCTCTGACGATCAGAGGATCGCCGAGTTGTAATTGCTCTTCATTAAGGAGAATTTAAACACTCGACAATTACTCCTTGGTCTAATTGTCGGAGTCGCATTTGCTTCTATTGTTACGAAGATTTTTGTCTCGATTCCAAGTAGCGAGTCTGACATCGATTTGTCCGGTGCACCATACGTTCCGACGTTTTACTGTCGCTTACTCTAACCACGGGATTTTCATTCTCTATTTTCGTACCGCTGCAGTATAACGCTATGTTCGCGCGGGACACTCGTAATCGTGCGATATGAGAGATCTAATAAAAACTCGTTAGAATATTGCGCGTTCTCGTCTCGAATATCCGCAACAATAATTTGCCGTGTTAGACGATTCTACTTTTGTTTCACAGGACACTCGTGTAATGTTAATGTAAATGGTTCCTTTTTTTAGAAATCATTTAAATGTAGTCATATTTTCATTTTCAAATATAATTATGTGTCATGAAAATATGAGTTATGAACTATGAGTTATTTCCGAAACTCTCGCTTTATATGAATGATTTCACTCATAATAACTATCAATTTTGTACAGATAACATTTCACGAAACCTTAGACTTTAAATCTCTTCTGATCGTTGAACTTCGCATTAAACCTCCTTAAGATTAATGCTTCTTGGCTGCAAATATGAAACATTACAAACGAACAGAGATGTTTACTTCAATTAAATCTAATTTTTAATATATTACACGCATGTCCATGTGTAGACGTGTAGTATGTGTTTGATGCAAATCTTCTACTTTAAAGTACCTCTAATCCTATAAGTTTAGAGAAAGAAATTGCTAAAGACTTCACATGAGGAAACATACATGTTCTCGCGCTTTTCTGTTTTTCAACCGCGAGCTCTCGTCTTGTATAGTCGATTTCCTCCTCTACATCCCCTTCGGCTACGTCTCGATCTGCAACGTGAAATATCAAGCCGTCGTCTAACTAAACTTCTACCCGAGCCAATAATCCCGTCTCGGCGAACCTCAAGCATCCCGCTGCTTTCTTCTCTTTTTGAACCTCTAACTACTTCGTAGCTGAACTCGATTAACGAACAAAATCTCCCCGAATGACTTCTCCTCGCTTTCGGTTTTGCGTCGCTTGCGAGAACGAGAACAAGAAACCGTGCGCGTGTATCCCCGGGGTTAAAAATAATTTAATTCGAATAATGGTCAGAGAGAGAGAGAGAGAGAGAGAGAAAGAGAGAGAGAGAGAGAGAGAAAGAGAGGGAGAGGGATCCGCTGGGTGCGTCTTTCACCATCGTTACCAGATCCCGCGGGCGAGCGCGAGACGAAGAGCCGTCGGCTCTACAGCTGCTACCGTCGCTAGTACAGCCGTCGCTTGTCCCAGAAATAGCGCAACAAGCGCCTTCCCGAAAGCTTTAAGGCCCGCTAAACAGGCGAGCCTTGACGATTGGCTGGAGCTTGCGGGGTGCGGTTCGCTAGCAGCACGCAAACCGCTATATCGTCCCATTCGAATATTACCGCGGCGCCGCGTCGTCCTCGTGGCAGTGCATAATCGGCAGCAAAGCTCTGCCGCGAGAGTCCTGTTTATCTCGCCTTGAGTCGCCTTTTTCCTCGCTTTCGAGAGGCGCAAGTTCGTGCTCACTCCGCCGTTCAATAGTATACCGTATATCGCGGTGCTCTAATTAGTATATTTCTCTTTTAGAAACAGAGTCAAATCTCGCGCCACCATCATGGTATGTTCTATCGATGATATCGTAAGTCGTCGCCCTGGTAAACATACACGTTTTCCTACTGTCTATCTTGTATTCTATTTGTTGTATTTTTTAACCGTGCTCAGTCTATTTCTCACACACACACTCTCTCTCTCTCTTTTTCTCTCACTTATTTTCTCTGTATCTTACACACTCTCTCTTTCTCTTTTTCCTCGGCTAACGTAAAGAAAGCATAAGATTATCTGCATATGTAGTTTAACCGTCGTTCTCGTATCTATCTTCTCTAATTTGTTCTAAGGCTCGTTTGTGTTTCCTTTTTGTTTTATTTTTTATGCATCATGATTCAATAACGATTAACATCGCATATCGCATTGGCGCGGTGCAAGTGCCCCGAGAATCGATGATCGCGCTCGGATTTTCGCCAGAGCGAGCGCGCGATCTCATTAATTTCGTTGGAACAACCGACTTCCGGTGGAGAGAGTTATTTTGGTGCTACGACGATGGATGATGAGAGATTCTGGAAAAACGTGACTGTTTCTTAGACGGCGAATTTTATAAAATGAATATAGAAAGGAAAGATTCGACCGCCTCTTTAAAGACGTCGTCGAGAGTAAGGTGTACTTTTGTCTGTTCGCAAATATCCGTGTGACGCAATGTTATGTGAGACAATCTATCGATCGATCGGTCTCCTTCGCGATCGCTACGTTGCACAATGCCAACGACGGATCGTTTAAAGCGGCGGTTCGAAGAAGACCACTTTAACTCATGAATTGTCGTCGGTAAAACCGAATGGAGTAATTGGGACTTCTTAGGGACTTCTTAGGAACCTCTTAGGGTCCTCTTAGAGACTGAGAACGGCTCAATGATTGAGAGAAGAAAATCTTAAGTTATAGCGAAATCGTCAAAATTTCCGACTCGTTGCCGGTCTCTTGGAGCCGATACTTAATCAGATGACCATTTCGTTACCACACAGTCCCAATTACCTCATCTTAGATGTAACGCACTCGAAATTGCATGCGCGCGGAATCTGCTCCAAATTTGAACGAATGTAACTAACTTTGCTATACACATATCTGGATTATTTTTATTGTGACAAAATATTAATTAATCGGATTCCTGTGCGATTTTATTCACGGAGAACAAATAAACTGGACGATTCGAAAGTTGAAGCTGTTGCGGGCGAATTTTAGCAAAGCACGAGCATTCTTTCTCGAACATAACTACACCAATTCTTAAGATAAAAGTATCAATACTCAGATATGTATTTGATGGATGTTCTTACTGTTTTGGTCTTTAAATACGAATATTAATTAATACAAATTTAAATTTTTAATATAAGAAAAATATATACGTATATTGAGTATATACATATATTCTATGTTGAAAGTTTAAATATTCGTACCTAGAAACCAAAGCAATAAGAATGCCCAAGATTAGACGCCTATTTGAGAATTTACACTTTTGCCTTAATTGGACGAATTTTTTCTCAAATTCTTTAACCATTTGTACATAATATTGACTGTAATAAATGAACATTGAGAAATATGTAAACATATATAAACGAAACATAAATTATATGTACATACTTGCTGAAGATAACAACGATTTACATCTTTATTATTGTTATTTATGATGTTTACAGGCCGACGAGCTGCCGGCGGAACAAATTGCCAGTATGTAACTTTCAGTTATTTATAAAAACTCAACAATTCCTAACAAAATCGTTATAAGTCCGATCCCGAACGTAACATCGATTAGAATTATAGCGAGACTAAGAAATATTATTGATTATCTCCTATGCAAAATAATTCTATCGCAACAATTTTGTCGAATAATTATTTAGTACGATTTTTTCATATAACACCGCGAGAGACTACAAAATTAATCCATACGTATTCGATTGGAGGCAAGCAATTCGTAAGAAAAGAAAATAACAGCATAAATATGTCGATACGAAAGTGCGAGAATAAAACTGATGAAGGCAGGATTGTGGCAAAGTCGCCGTTAGAAAAACGTCGTGAGAAGTAGCAGAGAATAGAGTTTGTTAAGACACACACAGTTACCGGAAGACTAAAAGTAGAAATCCTTTACATCGAAGCGTATAGGCGTACGCCGATCGCATCGCAGTCCGGATAAATTTTCATTGCTTTCACCGTCTTTACCCAAGTTTATTTACGTTTTAATTCGATCGAAGGCAGCTGTGCCGAGAGTGTTAGTCTATGTATAGCTACCCGTGTCTGCCTCGGCGAAGAGAACGACGAGAACGGCTCTGTACCTTGCGCTGCGACGATCGATTCTACGAATATATCGGAATGATAAAAATAGAGGAGAGAAATGCGTAGAAAAGAGAAAGAGAAAAGGGGAAAGAGAGAGGAAGAAAGAGGAACCGTTTCGCTCTCTCCAGCGAGAAGCCCGAAAAATAGGCGCTCATAATTTCGTGGCGGCGCGTGATTCCAGCTGTTTGCGAGCGGCCGCCGTCGTCGCCGGGGTTCTGCGAGATTTTAAAACGGACGCCTGGAACGAGACTCGTGAATCAATCTTCTCCGCAACGCAGTAGAGAGTAACTCGAGTGCTCTGCGATACGAATATAACTTGAACTATGCGATTCTTACAGCTACCAGAAATACAATCGAGAGTGTAGATTTTCCGATTGATCTCAATCGAAATTAAAATTGTAGTTGGTTTCGCGTTTAAGGTACCTTAAATCTGCAATATTAATGACCGAATAAGATAGCGGTCACGCGGTACATTTTCCCGGAATCTGTCTATATTTTATTAATACGCGTATTACGTACGCGATTAAATTTGCGCGATTTCGGTGCATCGTGCGAAATAATTTGGCCCACAGCCGAGTAATTTCATAGACCAGAATTATATTAATAAGTAAAGAAAATTAAAGCCAGAAGAAACTTGTGATAGAATACCGGTATTTCTTGCTCAAAATTCTCTGAAATTTCGAATTATACGCTAAATCGGAGTTAAGTATAATTAACCCTTTGCACTCGGAGATATCTTTACTACGTTTAAAATGTCCCCTTTGAAGGGACATCCGAGTGCAAAGGGTTAAAGTTCAATCGGGTCTTATAAGGTTTAACGAAGCACGAATCCTATGATAGTATTCTGTTTTCTCTACAGAGTATTTAGAAATATACTTTGTAACCGTAGCATTATATATGAACATTGGCTCTTCCAAATCGAAATTTATTTGTAAGAGGCTGTGTCAAATATCTTTTATTTGTAGCAAGAAGGAACATGTCTGTCTGAGTCTTAATTAATATAAAGCGCGAGAAGTGAAATATATAGGGAGAAAATTAAGAAATTTTTCAAAGCTTGCTAGAAACATGCTAGATCTAATGGTGTTACATACAACACGCTGATTAAAAGTTAATTTGTCTTGTCGAGCCAAATGAGCTCAGCGCCAGTCACCTCGTGCTAACGGTAGGGCGTTAACATTCAGTCTAAATTTGTATCATCTCGACGCGAATGTCTTTAGCCGGTCGACTTATTGTTAGCGAAACTCGTTTCAAAAGAGAGGATATAGTTCGTTTTTTTCACACTATCTCACCATATCTTCCGGCAAAAATCTGATTTCGGGCAGAATTGCGATTTTCACGCGTACAAAGAGAAACGATAAACTCGCTCGCGTTTGTATTCCCCAAATAAGGCACACTTATAAGACGTACTTTGACTACAAGTAAACAGAATTCATTTCTTGCAGTTTTGCGCAAAGCTTTCGACAGCTTCGACAGTAATAAGAGCGGCAGCATTCCCACCGACATGGTGGCTGATATCCTTCGATTAATGGGTCAACCATTCAACAAGAAAATTCTGGATGAACTCATCGATGAAGTTGATGCCGATAGTAAGAGAGTATTATAATTAATTAATACACCGAATACTGTACCATATCATGTAATTTATATAATTATTATTTATTATTTATTATATATTTTTACATTTACAAATTTGTGTTTTTCATGAACTCTATGTAGAACTATAAATTTTTCTAGGAATTTTTTACATAAATTCTCCTGTACATGTAATGTTTCAAGTGCGGAAATGTCGCAACAACGAATATGCGAATAAGTATACGACTTTTTCTTTTCGCGATTGTAACCAATAGACAAATGTGGCAAAACATATTATTGAGTTTATTTAAAGAAAATTAATGACTTTGTAACAATGACTTGTTTACCAATCTATTTCTAAAGTGTTTACAGACATTATATGCGATCGGTCTCGACGAGTTGTTGTCGAATGTCGGACAATTTAATTTACCGTAATACGCATCAGGAAAGACTATTTATAGAATTCACTGAAGAGAGAGTTTCGCCGGCTTTTACACAATTCTTCGCTTATAGAATCTGGGCGGCTTGAGTTTGAGGAGTTCATCACACTGGCAGCGAAATTCATCGTTGAGGAGGATGCGGAAGCTTTGGAAAAGGAACTTCGGGAAGCTTTCAGGCTCTATGACAAGGAAGGTAAGACTTGCGAACGGTTTGTCGAAGGAAGAAAGACTTTTTAATCGACTCATACAGTACAGGATTTAACTAGCTAATATACAATTGACAATCACTTGTTGTCTTAATAATCGTGACTATTTCCACCCAAATTAATTAATTTATAGCAAGTACAGTGATATGCATAGGCATAAATAATGCTTCTCAAGTTTCGTTGCGACCCATCAATAATTAATCTCTTTTACAGCGGAAAGTTTCATTTTTGCTCTTCTTCATGTTTGCTTACGCAGCAACAATATTATACCGAATTAAACTTAAGAAACTTTCAATTATTTTACTAAACATGGTAGCGATGTTATCATGATCTTAAAATGTTATTTTCCGGGATTTTTAATAAGCCTTAAGCTGAATGTACAAGGTTTTCTTGGTTAATCTTAGGTTGCCTTGTGGTTAAATTAATCATTTCGATATTTATCAAAACATAACTACCTTATTACCTTAAGCTAAGTGATATTAACGTGTTGCTTTCCGACAGAGAAAATTACAATATTGTATTCCCATGCAAGGAAGTTTAATTTATTGGAATATTATGACAACATTTTAGTAATAATAACATTGACTTTTATACTGTGTAGATGATTATTAAGTGGGCTACGGATATAGATAGTTGTTTTGTTAAGCGAATGTAACGTCGGTTTCGCTGAGGAAAAATATGACAAGCGTGACACATGCGACAAGGAAAGCTCGGGATACATTTATAAACAAACGTATTAAGTTCGCATTAGTTCGTTATACGTGCACATAAAAATAAGCCGGCTACGCGGAGATTCCCAAGAGTAACCTCACGTGGCGGCCGAAAGCCAAGAATGTCGTAACACATCTTTCATGAATTACGATTATGTCGAGGGTGTATCATATGTATTTTAACACCGCTGGCACCGCGAAGATAAATAATACCAGTCGCGTAACGTCAAACGGATAAATTTTGCAATTATTATTTATGTCCGAGCGAGAGGAATAAGTGAGTATTACGTGTCAAAATAACTTCCTAGGTGTGTAATTACTGAGACGGCTCAATATCGCGTCGCATCGGAAATTCTCGTGGATAGTTGCGAATTTGCAAACAAGGTCAATAGCTCGATAAATTCTGCTCTAATAGGTAATGGCTACATCCCAACGACGTGCTTACGTGAAATCTTGAGAGAGTTGGACGATCAATTGACGAACGAGGAGTTGGATATGATGATCGAGGAGATCGATTCCGACGGCTCCGGTACAGTCGACTTCGACGGTACGTTTCCAGCGTTTTCCCTCTCTCTTCTCTTCTCGAGAAGAGGCACATTGAAAGTATTATAATTTAGCCGACAAAGAGAGAGACACATACTTTATCTGACTCTATAATCGATGTGATGCAATCATGTTCTTTTATTTTCTTTTATTTCACTATTTAAATTCACCTGATGCAAACTGAACGAGAAAAAATCGAGCGGTTTATTTATACACCGGCGAGTTGGCAGATCAAGAATGCCACTGATCCCGCACTACTGTCTATTTTAATATTCTTACTTAACAAATCGCACCGATTTATCAAGATCGCGCGTCCGTTCCGATTCCTTACGAGTTTCACACGTGATACTCATAAATATTAGGACATTAGGCAATTTTGTTATTTCTTATAGACGGTTAAACTAAAATAATTTTGGTAATTTTTACAACAAAACTCACAGTGCAGCGATACAATTCAATATATAAATTTCTAGTCTGCTTCTGGTTGAAAATAACAACAAACATGATGTGTAAAATTATCATAGGAGTGCGATTAAAAAATTTAACAAAAGAATGTTATTCTCTTTTGTACAAACTCATATCGTATTTTTCTCTTTTCTAGAATTCATGGAGATGATGACCGGAGAATAATTATTTAGCGTGAAAGGTGAACTGCTTCCGGATCCAAAGACATTCGTGCGCGTGCAACGTTATGCCTTGAAGATAATCATTCGCGTGTTTAAAAGGAATCAGTGCACAACAAATTTATTCGCACAGAGATATCTTCTACGTTACGATCAATCTCTAGAAGCAAATTCCTGTTATGAACAAACCGATTTAATATATTTTCTGCTTTTCTACGTACATCATATTTATTGTAGGGACGAGCTTTATTTTGTTTCATATACTTACATGATGCCTTGGAATTTTTTCATTGACAGTATATTTATTGTTATTAATAAAACAAGATAAAAGTCTTTATGTCTAGCATTGTTTAGTAATCTGAAACATTTTCCTTTAATGAATTAAAATGCATCAGTATTGTAGAGCTAATCATCTTCCAAATTCTTTGCACTTAATCTTCGCGCACACACGAATATATTTTTCTTTTTTAATTTTCTTTCTACTTCTCGTTCCTAAATGTGAAAATATTCCATTTTTTAAATTAAAATACTTCACACACATATTTTTTATTTTTATAAACAAAATATTACGTGCAAAGTAATCTTATTATTATAATCAACGTAAATTTAGTTTTGTCTGTTTCTCTCTTTTTAATATAGAGATAATTAGATTTATCATATTTATTACATTAATATTTTTACACATAAATTTACCTACTTATATGTGAATATTCAATTAGATTTAGAATATTTAATAATGGAGAAAAAGAGAATAATATATATAATATTCTGTGTTAGTTATGAGCTAAACTTTTTTATTTATTCAACGTTCGATTATAATCACAATAAACTTGAGATTCCTTTATAATTGACATATTAGTAGTTGCAAACATAACGTAGAATAACATGTTTCAAAAAATATAGTCACTAATCATAGACTAGCAAGTTTACTGATTGCAGTGGCACCTAATAAGTCTTACAAATTCCTGTAAGAATTTTTATCTAATATTTTACTTTTTATATAAAGATGTATGATGGAGCCATTCGCAAAATAACAGCATTGTTTATTTAGTCAAAGAGTAGTCTAGCTAATAAAAGTATTTATATCTCTCTGAAAAGTAATGTACAAGCTAAAATTTAATTTCTATGACTTAGAATATCTTTCTGACATACATAGATATGCGGACTAGACTATGGAGAAATAATATTATAATTTTAATTAGTTTCCCCATTCTTTAACAATACACACAGAGATGCGCATATTCAGTTCTATATGTTCATATGAAATTTCATTTCAATATGATCTCTATATATAAATTACCCCATTCAATTATCTATTGCAGAATGATTAATTACCCTATTAAAGATATATAATTTTAGCTATTAAAGTGTTGGAATGTTTTTAGATATTAGTGGTCCTCACGATAAGAGTGGAAAGGACTTATTTTTAGATTAAACAATTACAATTTTCCCTATCTACAAGTGATGTAGCACCAACTAAATGGAAATATTTTTATGGCAGTCATAAAATATTTTATATCATTAAATATTCTGCGAACAATGTGCATTTTACTATTATATCTTTTACTGAATATAATAGAAGACAGATAAGGAACAAGTCATGAAGTTTAATAAAATTCGTCGCAAATTTGATTCTTTTTTACCTTAAACAAATTTTAAAGATTTGCTTAGACGAGAGTTTGCAGATCATCCTCTTCCAAATCTTGATCAGAGGATGAAATTAAATGTCACATTTGGAACAAATGTGGAAATTCGTTGCTAATTTCACGTACTACTTGTTGATCCTCTTGACTTTCTGCTGTTTCCTCACAGAATATCCTAGGGTAGAAATACAAGATACGTTCATATAACGAGAACGTTCACATAAAGGATATATTAGTATATAATAAGTGTGTAGTATAATTATAATATAACTGAATTTTACCTGGTAAAACATTTTAATAAATCTTCCGATCGATGACGGTGCTCGTTATAACTCGACGTACGTAGAACTCGACGACAGAGCTCTAAGTATTGTCGACGCTACCATTGTATTAGAGAGTTATCGATTAGACATACATTTTGTCAATATAACTTTCATAAGTTTGTTTTGAAAAATTGATCACTGCACAATGCAATACCTTATCACCTGGGAACATGTCGAAAAGCTGCCGTAGTATAATATCAATAAGGACTTTCACGTCATTGGTGTAGAAGAGACTTGCTACAACGTCGTTACTGAATAGGTCGATAAAGAGTTTTAACACAGAATGCGGTGGATGTGGCTCGTGATCGAATATCCGTACCGGATCCTCTGTGGTAAGTTAAAAGTTTGTCAGCTCGAACAATCAGCTCTGACATTACTCGTATAAAATTTACCTTCTCTGTTAAAAAGGAATAAAATTTTTTCAGTGAAAGTTTTGGCCACAGTCCGTTCTCGTAAGGCATTTAGAACTATATTTTCAGAGGTTGTAAATTGCAGATTGTAGGATAATATTAAATTTACGAACAGGTCTGGAATTTGATCCTCTAAATCTGTATCAGGTGGTGTTTCTATTAGGTCCAAAAGGAATGATATGAAGTCTGGACCAAGTTGTTCTACAATGAAATTCACAAAAAAACACACACATACAAGCATTTTAATCGTCTATTCTCAATTATAACATTGCTTTAAATGTATCATCTTTCACTTACCTAAATGCGTAACTGGCATGGGCTCACCCATCGAGAAGATCATTGTGAGTAGTAAAGATGAGTAATTTAATCTCAGTACATTTCTGGGATTACTTTTCATATCTCTGCAGATGCAATGATAAAAAGATTAATTATCTAATATATCTTATTATTAAATGCGCAAATAATCTATCTCTCTCGCACTACCTTGCTAATTCCATTGGTAAAATGCTATTTAACATTATAGTTAGAACCACTGGATCTAAACTGCACATAACACCAAACGATTGCAACAACAATTGTCTAATGGTCCATCTCGTTTCCATTTGATAATATTGTATCAATATCGTTACTCCGTTGTATCGATCTTGTCTTAAAACGTATCTCGACACGTTTGCGTCAGCGTTTGTCTTTGTAAAAAAAAAGAAGATACAAATGAATATTAATTGCTTAACAATGATATCAAGTGTAGATCCGCATTTATATTTCTTTTTCCTGGGTTAAAAATCATAATTTGAAGCAAATTAGAAACAAAGTATGATATTATAAGATACAATGCGATATTCAATATCTTATGTAAATGCGAATCTACGAAAAAAAACGACGGAATCGCCTCTTGCAAAACACAAACTATGTACCAATATTTCAGTCAACTCTTTGATATATTCTACGATGATAGATTCATCCTCATAAAGCATCCAACTTCTTTGCTGTGAATCTTCTTTACACGATGTCAACTCGGTGAAAATTATTTTCAACCTATTAGCATCGTAAGTTTCTTCTATACTCATCTTTGATACAGTCAGTGGTGTTTGTAGCTGATGCAGCAAAGCATCGAAATAGTGACTTACAGTTTCTGGTAGCAACTGCCGCAGGCCAGATACTACGACTGTAACTGCTACCTTTGACATTTCATGACTGAGTTGAGTATTTTTGCGTACTTGATCGAGCAGCTGGTATGCAGTTCGTGAATTGATGGCTTGTAACGACAAGTTGTTCTTAGCCGGTGAGCCGCTCTTGGCAGGCGAGTTGCTCTTTGCCGGCGAGCCACCGCGCACATTTTTTATGCTGCCTTGGGAAGAACTCTTACGTACTTCCGTGATCTGTGGCTGAATTTTCTGCACAGTGTCAGAAGATGATTGACGTGGAAATGTTTGTAAGCGTCGTTCATTTCCACTCGATCGTTGACACTGTGCAATTGTTTGAATGACATCTACATTGGCATCAGTGTGAAAGGTAGTTTGCGCTGTTGCATAAGAAGTGTTACTTGGTGCTAGTCCAATATCTGTCTCTGTACTGTCACAGGCAACAGTTGATTGTGTTTCTTTGGCTGTAATGCTATCTTCCACATCTGGCGGTGGTTTAGGCGCTTGCTTTTTAGGTTTTCTATTTAATTCAACCTGTCTTTTCCTTTCTACTAACTTTGCCAGAAGCTCTTGCTTGTCTGTGTGCAGCGAGTCACTATGTTTGCTAAGTTCTGTCTCCAGAGTTATTATACAGTCTTCCAAAAAGTCAATCATGAATTGAGATTGTACCTGGTAATCGACAATCAATATAAACTATTGATAACAAATTAGTAGCGCAATATAACATTTGTGCACATATTACTTGAAGAAATTTAACATACTTTTACAGCGGTGACATAATTAGATGGTATGTAGCCCAGATGGCCGCCTCTATTAACAACTTGCCACCAATTTTTCTGCTTGATATTACGCTGCAGTAAAATAAAATATTCACCCTCCCGAAAGCTAAGGGTCTTGGCAAATGTGGCCTTGAAGTCGTACAAAGCTTTAACCATCTCATAGCTGTCTGCAGTTATACATATGCAAAATAAGAAGACAAGTTGATTGAAAAAAATATCTCGGGGGCGTAATGTCGACAACTTGTTAGAATGTAAATATATACGCACCGTACTCACTTAACCTTGCACAATTATCGTCCATCATTGGGAACGAGAGTGAAATGCAACTATTTCACGGGGACAACGCCCAGTTGAAAACTGGAACGCCGGAGAACTGCTTACTTACTTTCATTTATGTCCAGGCATCTTATTTTCCTCCTACTTACTTTTTTCTACTAACCGCAGTCGCACTTTTTGCTCCGACTGGACCGTATCTCTACGTCTCCATACGTCTCTATCTATATCACTATCACTATGTCGCTCTATCGCATATAGATCGCGCTTAGCACGACGCCGAGAGTGGCACGAATCGAACCATTACACCCATTCACCCATTCACTCGCTCACGTTACAAATTCGTAGGAATTATCGATCGCAATGCATCATCTCTCTTGGCCTACTACTACCTTTTATTATCTTTACTTTTACAAACACACACATACACACACATTTTGTAATAATTACTTATAACATTTGCATTAAGTTACAAGACAATTGCAGGGAGGAATGAGTAAACAAAACTCAAAAATTATATTTGCTTAATAAATCATAACTTTAAAATCTGTTAATTTTATTGCTTAGAAAAATGAGATATACGTTTTATACTGTAACAATAAAAGCATAAAAAAGATAAATGTGAAAAATTTATTAATATATATTTCTGTATGTAAATACATATAACTATTATAATTGAAATTTTGTATATGCATGAAAAGATAAATTTCTGTTTCTTCGCATCTATTACGTTGACTCGAACATGCCAACACCTAGCAGTAAATTTCTACGTGAAAAATGTAATGTCATGATAGATGTATTTTTCGTAGGGAAAGTACGTAATAAATATGATTCGGAGTTAACTTTCACATCCGGATTGTGCGAAACGTTGACGTCTTCCAAGCTCATTTCCTCCGCCAATTTTGTAAAGTCCCATAATCTCACTGTACAATCCAAGGATCCTAGCATAATAGCAATACATTGTTAAAATTTCTCCTGACCCACTCGCACAATGTAAGTAGACGAAGTAAGAGTACCTGAGACTAGAATATTGCCATCGCGACTAAAAGATAGACATTCAATATTGCCTGTATGCCCTGACAAGGCCGCGACAAGATGTCCATGCGCCAAATCCCATACTAGTACACGATGATCAGTACCAGCTGAGGCTAGGAATCGTCCTTCTGTTGAGAAAGCTAAAGAATAAGTGGGCCCTTTGTGTCCAGTCATTAGACGAACTTGGCTGCCACTTACGCAGTCCCATAATCTCACTGTCATGTCACTTGAACCAGTTGCGACATAGTTTGAATTTGGATGAAATTGGACTACCTAAAAAATATAAAACGGCAGTTAATTATTTCAACTAAATAAATTCATTAGTATCAACGAAAATTCATTGATATCAATATGACTCACATTAACGTCTGAATAATGACCAGCAAATATTCGTAATGGTTGATGCGAATCAGTTGCCCACAGCCTAGCAGTTCTGTCATACGAGGCACTTGTAAAGTAATAACCATGTGGTGAAAATTTTACACACCACACAGGAAACAAGTGACCTTTGTAGCAGACGACGCACGTCCATGTATGAAGTGACCATAGCCTTACTGAAGTAAGTATTATGAATTATCACATCAGTCTTTTATAATTAGTTATCATGTAGGAATTTAGATATTTGTAAATGATTAATTAGGATTATTAGTAAATGTATAATTTTCGTAATGATATACTTTCCTGTGTTATATTCAAAATTAAGTATGTTTGCACAATATAAAATACTATAATATATATACTAAATAAATGTAAATGTACTAAAATAACTATAAACAACTTTTATATTATATAAACCTTACTTGTTGTATCCTCTGATGATGAGAGTAAAAGATTCCTATCTGGACTAAATGAAAGACTATAAACTGGCCCACTATGACCATATAAATTTTTTGCTGTCTCAGGTGAGCGCTCGTCCATCATCCTAGCTAGGACATCCTCTAGAACATTTTTTACAATACATTTTAAGTTAATGTAACATTGATGGAAGTTTTGTTTCAAGAATTTTTATATATTACCTGCGTCCTTATCAATATCTTGTAATTCTTCGCCCGCTTTCATTGGTCTTAATTTTTGTGGGATTAAACTCCATACTTTTATACCAGAATCGCGAAATCCAGTAGCTAATAAACTCGAGTCTTCTGCTATTTCTGCCGATGTCACACTAAACAGGAATTGTAGCTGTAGTTACAGTAGATACACTATTAAAAAATTTTATTATATATACTTACGTATGAACTGCATTCATCAATGTATAGAAACATATAGATGGTAGTGCATCAGGTCCCACAACAACTCTTTTTGATGCTTCTCTTAATGCCTTCACTTTTTCTAATTTATCCACATCTTTCCTAAGTTCCGAAAATACGATTTGTGTCAAAACAAAGCTTGCGAAAATACGATTTGTGTCAAAAGAGCTACAAGCTAGAGTATACAAACTTATCAATCTTACAGATTGGGTAATGGCATTCTGCCCATAGGTGGTGCATTTGGATCAGATTTAGTCTTTTTTGAAAATAAAGGATCTTTTTTAGCTTTTTTCTTTTTTGGTTTATCTCCATCTCCGCCACCTGTATCATCTTCTTCTTCTTCAGCTGGTGGCACACACTGAATATCTGGCTCCTTTAGAAGTCCATAATAGACCTTGGCTTTGTTATCTAATTAATAAGATAAAGTTATCTATGTAATTAGATTTAATAGCAGACAATAATTCTGTAATATATACGGAATGTCTTTTTTCTCAGACATAAAAGGTTAGTATTACCTTGTCTGGTAGCTTCTCCCACCATAGCTCCAGATGTTGCATCAATCTGTTGTTTGTTGCGAGCAACACCTTCATACATGTCAAAGTAAAGGTGTTCTTGTATGATATTTAATAAAACACTATGTTTCTTTTCTTGCAAATGTCGTTTTAGTATAGAAAGAGTATCTCTTGACATTCTAATTATGAACTGATTAGATCTGTAAGAAAGTAAAGATTTTTTATCATATATCCAAATTTTGATATCTATTACATTATACATTTTTATACTTACTTTAAGGTATCAGTTAATTCATTTCCTGCCATTTGTTCTCGTTTTGTCACATTGGATAATCGTCTCAAATCATCTTGATAATATTCTTCCAAATTTCCACGAAACTTTTCCATGAGTTGTTTTGCTTCTTCAGGATGGTTATTGTAAACCAATTCCACATACATGTGTACCAAAACTGGATATAATATGGTGCCCAATTCATGCTATACATATTATTATTATTATTATCATAATTCTGCTGTTATATATATATATATATATATATATATATATATATATATATATATAATAGTAAAATAATAAAATATATGCAAAATATCTTATTACTAAATAGTTAGTGACAATTACAACTTTAACTTACTTTATAAATGTCCAGAGCTCCTTCTACAAATTTTTTCAATTCACTGTACGCTTTCTCATACAATGCAGGATCTCCTTCACTTTTGTAAGCAGAGAGAACACTAGTTACTTCAGAATCAGTTTGTTGGGAGTCTTCAATTGAAACATCTTGAAGATTAGCTTCCTTTCTAAACAATTCTTCAGTGCTCTAAGAAGACACCACACGCTCGTTAATATTACTAAATTCATTCTTACATAGAGATTTATTTATTATACTTCTCACATAATATAACAGTTGTAAACACGTTATAAGGTTATGTGCTTCTTAAAGCATATAATATTGCGTTACCTTTAAATTATACTTCTTTAGAAGCTGTAAAACAGCAAGCATTGTAGTTTTATCGTTATCCATATTTGTGAAATATATAAATATATTATCACTCTAAGAATGTTAAAGATTATCTTCATATAATACGTAAATAATACAAAATACACTCAAAGGTTTACAGAAGTTGCAGATAAATCCTGAATTGCGTTTCGAGACCTCGTGCGGCGAGAGTGCGAAGCATTGCCATCTGTGTGTAGGTGATGTGCATTCAAGGTACTTTACATAGGAGCATCGAGCGTCGAGTGTAAAACGGTAGCCAATCAACGTACCACTTTCCGCAAGAACTACAAGTATACTTCTAGAACCTGATACGTTGATTGGTTAACGCTTTAACGCTCGACGCTGGAATGCTCCCATGATTGGCACCTTTAAGGCCTTCACACACACTTTCCGTAACAGTAACCGTAAGACGTAACGTAAGAATTGACCAATCACGTTGAAAATCGTCGAAACATAAGGTCGCCATTTTTGTGAATACTCCATCGTAATTGGTCAATTCTTACGTTACGTCTTACGGTTACTGTTACGGAAAGTGTGTGTAAAGGCCTTTAGGGCTATCGCACACAATTGACATAACTGCAATGCATAGCATAAGATCGTATGGACCAATGAGCATCGAATATTAAGCATCGAACACCAATATAGCGACTTAATACTCGATGTTCATTGGTACATACGATCTTATGCTATGCATATGCAGTTATGTCAATTGTGTGCGATAGCCCTTAAGCGTATGTTCACACGAACGCAAGGGAGGAAGGTTAGGTCAAGTTAATAAGATAAAGACAAACTATCCAACGCCATCCTTGTCTCCTTTATTAGATATTTATTAGATTATCTTTATTATATATTCATATATTCTTTAATATATTCATGTATGTAATGAATTACATATTAGATATTTTATACAAATATTATACAAATATTTTATACAAATATATTCATGTATGTAATGAATCAAGCGTCAAGCGCCACGGTCGCGGCACCTTATTATATTTATAACGTAATCTTCCGAGTTTCTCGAATAAATCAACGATTATTGTTTTAACTAAACAACAGATTTTAAATCAACAGATTATTGTTTTCTATTGTAGAGTTTTGTTCAAATAATGACTGTGCGTTACCGTTATTCCATCGTTAATCGTCCTCCGAACCAAGATCTTTTTCAAAAGTTTTTGTCGCAACATTTTTGAATTATCAGAATTGGCAAATCGCCCGGCGATACCAGAGATCACAATTTCCTCGTCTGGTGGGACTTTCACGTATGGATTAAATTTACTGCTCTCTATATTTTTTATTCACTTTTAAATCGAGATTTGCTCGAAGAAGTAATGTTTTCAATCTATTTCGACGCAAAAAATACAATGATTAAAATAATTCTTGAATAAATCTGCAAGCTTGTCTTACAGTAAAATTTTTGAATGCGAGAAATTTATATAATAAAATAAAATTTTATGACTTCAATTTTTCATTCAAAATTTTATGACTTCAATTTTTCATTCAAAATTTTATGACTTCAATTTTTCATTCAAAATTTTATTACTTCAATTTTTCATTTTCATCGTATATCATCATATGTTAAAAGTACATACCTATATGTTCTTGTTGAACGTAACAAACTTTTTGATAGATATTTATATAATAACATCTTTAACGTAACTGCCACAATGTGGTAGGTCTACTAGCTTTTATTTACACAAATATTTCCACATTATACAATATATTCGTATTGTTCTCTTTGTGTCTCTTTCTTTCTTATTCTTTTATCTGCAGTCTGATATCGGAATAACAAGCTACTATAAATAATAAGGGTCAAAGATTATTAATCTAGTTCGTGTCACATAGATGTGTCACATTGAAATTTGCATTTTGCGTCGCGCATTTTAAGGCTTCCGGTCTGTTGCAATCTATTTTTTTTCAATGACGTCAGAAGCGAGAAAATGGATACTAAAAATTCTTACAAAATACAGGATGTCCAGTGGGAATGTGTTGAAAGTAAACGGTTATTACTTCGCAACAAATAGGCCGAATGGAATGAATAAAACGCCATTTTATAGAGGAAACTTATCAATTTTATTACCATATATATAAAAAAGGAATATAGTAATTTAATAATTGAAATATACATTATATAGAGAAGGACAAAAATTTACTTGCGCATATGAATTAATGGTATATGTTCAAAATATTGGCTATCGGAACCAGCACAGAACTGTAATCGTTTTCGAAAACTTTGAAATACATTATTTAACATAGATATAAGAATGCTGCGAGTGCATTTTTTAATACTATCTATCAGCTCTGCGGTGTTTTGAAGTTGTACGGCGTAACATTTATCTTTAAGGTAATTCCAAAGAAAAAATCGAATCACACGAATTCAAATATCGCCGCATTCCTATATCTATGTTAGATAATTAGATAAATAGATGGGTTTTAAAGTTTTCGAAAACGATTACAGTCTTGTCCTGGACAATACTTTGAAAACATATACCATTAATTTATACGTGCTAGCAAATTTTTGTCCTTTTTTTATAATGTATATTTCAATTATTAAATTACTATATTTCTTTTCTAAATATATGGTAATAAAATTGACAAGTTTCCTCTATAAAATGGCGTTTTATTCATTTCATTTGGTTTATTTCTTACGAAATAATAACCACTTACTTTCAACATATTCCCATTGGTCACTCTATACATTAAAATAAAATATATATCCATAAAGTAACACTTGCAATCGATTAAACAAATTTGTAAGATATTCCGTGCACTCCCCTTTTGCTCTAACAATTAATAATTTGTCGTAAATTAACGTGACATAAAATTCATCTTTTTAATCTATTTTTTCGCCTATTTCTATGCAGGTTAATTTACAATAAATTATTGATTGTTGCGAGGGGCCTTAAATTCTTTTGTGTCTAGTGTTTAAAGTTTGTCTTTTTTAATAAACATTTATATAACAATATCTTTGACGCAACTGCTACAATGTAGGTCAAACTAGCTTCTCATTTATACAAATATTCCCACGTTCTTGATACAATGTATTCATACTGCTATTCTTTGTATCTCTTTCTCTCTTGCTCTATCATTGTTTTCAGTTTGGAATCTAAATAGCAAACTATTGTAAATAATATGGGTCAACGATTATAATTCTGGCACGTGTCACATAGATATTGGAATTTGCATTTTGTGTCATGCATTTTAAATTCTTTTACATTTAGTGTTTAAAGTTTGTCTTTGTATCGATCTTGTATTAAATACATATTGTTACGTATTTTTTAGATCATTTTCTCTAATATTCGTAAGATATTACATTGTGTGAAATAAATTGACATAACCGAGTAATTTTATATCAAGATTATTTTAATTAATAAAAGAAATGAATCTTCACGCAGAATATCTCCGTAATATACAAGGTTTCCTAGAATAATCTTTGAAGCTCTCATGGAGGCGCATAGTATGGAACAATTTTTGTATCAAAGATACAATGTTTATAATATTGTGCTTATGTCATAAATGTTTTTTTATACTATTGCCAATTATTGTTTTTTTGCTAAACTTATTGGTCTAGTCATATGTTTAAACGAGTTCCGTGGTTGTAATTTTATATCAAGATTATTTTAATTAGTAAAGAAAATGAGTCTTTAAGCAGAATATCTCTGTAATATACAAAGTTTCCCAGAACAATCTTTGAAGTTCTCGTGGTGGCATAGTATGGACTAAAGTGAAATTTCTATACCATTTTGCGATATTTGCAATAGTTATTGAAATAATTAAAGAAGATTTCTGAATTATCATCCAAGATATGGTAAATAAGCTATAGTGATCACGTCTGCCATCATGTGCTTGTTCTAATAAGTCAAACTGAACAAAGAAGTCCTGTATCATTTTTCTAATAACTTCGTAGATTTTTAATTATTAATTAAAGAAGATTAGTGGCAATGGTCATTGGCAATAATGTATTAATATTTTTTAATTAATAACTAGAAGTCTACGAAGTTATTAAGAAAAAGATAGATGATTTTTCTGTTTAACCTAATGTCTACATGACGGCAGATGGCACCACTACACCTCATTTACCATATTTCGTGTGATCATTCATAAATCTTCTTTAATTAATATCATAGCTCGATAATTAATATAATTATTGATATAGAACCTTTATGTTCACTTTAATCCGTATTATGTTTTCATGAGAGCGTTACTTATATATATACTCACCTCTATATTACACAACTTAATTTCTGTTTCTGGAAATACGAAGCAGATGTGTTTCCTTATCTTTTTTATCAGTTTTTAATTTTAATTATTGTTACAAGCTGTTTTAGATCCAACTGTAACATATCTCCTATATAGATGTTCTCTCTATATTTTCGGCATAAATGTGATGTAGAAGAGCAACGTATCCCACATCTAGTTGTTAACTATTCACCTACCGTGGTATTATATTTATATCCACGCATAAAATTATTTTATTCTTAGATAATTGTTTTACTATACCGACTTTTACAAAATTATAATATAGTTAAACAATTTTACATTATCTAAGAAAGATTTAATTGTACTCATAAGTACTCTTCAGTACGACTAGATGCAATTATAAGTCTAAATAAGTCATCTCATGTTCCATTGTTGATTTTATTTTTGAAATTCAATTTCAACAACACAGAGTCTCCACCGCCCAATTTGAAGGACTTAATATCCAGATAATCATTGTTCCATAAAGTATGTTCAGTGTTACTTCTGTGTTATATAATAGTTATATTCTATATTTGCTGGTCAGTGAGTATATTATCCATTTCAACAATATCGTAACATGGCGTGTACACCAAGTTTTCTATATACAGCTGCCTATATGAGACTTTCAAGTTTTCTTCATTACGTATCTACACAGTAAACACAAAGTAACAGTAACATAACATCAATGTTATAATTTCCTACTCAACAATGTAACTGTTATATAACACGCACGTTATATAACAGTTACATTGTTGAGTAGGAAATTGTAACATTGATGTTATGTTACTGTTACTTTGTGTTTACTGGGTACAGTGGTGATGATGATTTCTCGCTTGGAGGATATGCACCCCTATTAAATTATAAATAATCTTTCCATTTCAAAATCTCCGACTCTCCGTGAGACACCCGTGAATAACAGTAAGTTATAAAATAAACACTGAGTAATAGAAGTTAAACGTCTATGAATATTTACATATTAAACGGTTGGAACTGGTCGATGATAGATGTTTCAGTTCGATAAAATTGTTGCGAGTGAAGTGGAAGAAGTGAAAGAGATCGGTGGATGATTCGTTCTTGTAACTCAGGTGAGATCTTATCGAGATGCTTTTTGTTCGACAGTTTATTACATACAGTGTGCCAGTATAGAAATATCATACAAATTCGAAAATGCTCGAACAAATTACGAAACATTAGGTCTACATGATTCTTGTATTATTCCTCTTCATCTTCTTTTTCTGTTCTTTTTAACCATGTACATACAAGAGAGCGGTGTACAACGGTCCTATACAAACACCCAAAAAGGCTAGCCACACGTCGTGCATACTGTGGTGGCGGTCTATCGCTGCTTCCACTAAACGAATAACTAATTAATAACTAGCCGAAGAGTATTATGTACAGTGCGCTTCCCATCTCGCTAAGCTTTTTGCACGCTTTGGTATTGAAAGTATGCGACGTAGCTCCTTCGTTCGCGCGCATTTTTAAAGATGTTGTCGTAAGGACCTTAGGATGTGAGGCGGAAAGAGGTTTGCAAAAATAATTGCCATCTTGATATAATACGTAGCATCCGAGATAATATGTAAGACAGAACTAACGTTTAAGTTGTATCGTTTGCCGCTCGTGCAAGGCAGTGCGCCCTGCGTGTTTTGTTTTCTGATCAAGCTAAAACGTTTAACCGAACACTTGGACAGTATCAAGTGCGTTCTAAGTCCGTGTTTTATAAAACATACACGTGCAATTTATATACGTAAAGTAGAAAGATTGTCAAACACGTAATATTTATGATAAGTAAGTTTATTAGAACGCATCTTCGTGAAATTTAAAATTTCATTTTCGCAATCAAGCATTTTACTTTGGGATTTATGTATTTCGCTCTATGATCTTTCATTTTTCTTTAATATGTCCCTTTTTTCTTTTTAATTCTTGACTGCTCTCGCATAGAAATTAAGACGAGTAGGTATAAGAAAAAATAAAAAGACAAACTTAACATCTGTGAAAGATATGTGATTCCTGATTTCGAAAATTATAGATATCCATAATGCAAGTTCCGATTTTTTTCACTACATTGCCTCTCGCAAAGTGATTTCAATTTTGTTCAGTATTTGAAATTTATTTTTCTTACATTCAAAATAAGTAAAAACGTACCGCTCCCTTGTGTCTCCTCGATAACCAAGTCCAATAATTCGATTTTAACAAATCAAAGCGCGCATGTCACAATGCTGCCTCTTTATTTAGAGAGAGAGGGAGGGGGAAGAGAAAGAGAAAGATAACACAGAATATCAATTGCGATAACAGCAACTTTCTCATCTGAGGATAGCCTAAACAAAGTAGCACGTGGCATTTGCAATTTTTTGCAAGCGTATTTCAGCCTTCGTGAAACTTAACGTAATTAGAATAATGCAATCATTAATATAAATTTAATATATATTCCACTATTCATGTTCTCTACGCTACAGCTTGCGCCTGAGTACACCGTTAATTAACATTGCTCAGATTTACAGCAACTAGCGATTTATGTACAGTGTATTTCCAGTGTTTGGATATCGAATCACTTCATCTTTTATTTACAGGCAGTTAACGATGCATGCTCGTAAGCTATTCGCAAGTTTTCTCAGCGAAATTGATATTATTATAACTTCAGGGATAACGCAGCGAATTTTTATCGCATCATTATAACGCAACGTGAACAGTAAAATATGTAAGAACGCTACGTAATGGAAAATAAAATCAAAATAACCTAATGCTCGATCTGGACTCAATATTGGACATCATACTGTAGATTGCACCGAAACAGCAAATTGCGGATTCGAATTCGCTTGATTTAGACAATGTAATCAAAACTCAGAAGTAGCGCAATCAAATTTAAGACTCGGTATTTTTTTCAATCTTCGGCTATATCAATTATCACTGACTTTTACCCACACAACACGATGCAATTAAGCAATCTTCAATTTCCAAGACAAGTTCGAATTGAATGTCGAATTTGAGAGCGTCTTGACGAGTATCATCAGTGAGTTTAGATACGACAATAACACAGAATAAAAGTAAGCTCTACGTATTAAAATTTCTATCAGGTGCTCGCAAAAGTTTGTCGAATTTGTAGTCATATTTCCTTTATTAATAGTAACAGAACAATAGCTGTTATGTTCAATTAAAGTATCTGCTATCATTATCCACCACATTATGCCATCTTTCAGGTAATTGTCTGACTAGTGCATCTGCAATATATGACATTTTTTAAATCAATAAAATTATCGAACCATTCGACGCACTCTTACAAGCTCTTGTGATACCTTCTTCTATAATACTCAACAAGATAATCTCGTGCTCGGGAGCGTCTCTCTCAAGCGTCTCATTTTAATGTTTTAAAGAAATCGTTGGAGGAAACTGAAAAGGTAATGCGTTATTCGTATATGACAATTCGTGCGGTGTAGTTGGAGGGGGCGATATTACACCCCGCTCGTTTTCAACGTAGTCATAGTAATCATCGTCATCATTATCGTAGCCTCCGAACCGTCTTTCGAATCCCGACGTGGCCCGTTTAATCGGAGCACCGTCGTCGGCGATACTGGAGATCCATTTGATTATCATCGCGAAATTGGACGAGATTCGGGCGCACGACGGCGCAGTCATGATCCAGCCGGTAAGTTTCCGGTTCCGGGCTTCTACTGCGTCCGTCGTTGCAAGCATCTCGCCGTCGCGACGAACATCACGACGAGAATCGCGACGAACGCGAAAGACGGCGAGGGCGTTATTTTGCATTTGAGACGCGCGCAGATCGTACGACACTATGGACTACCCGTGTCGTGGTGAAACGAGTCACTGTCACTCTCCACGTAGGTCACATAGCTGTCGGTGCTGTCGGGATGCTGGCCCATATCCGGCCCGCCGCTACCCGGATGATGAGGCCCCGGAGGCGGTAACGGTCCACCCCCACCATCGTTCATTGGCCCGCCGAGCATCCCCGGAGGTGGCAATTGCGGTGGCGGGCCGCCGTGCAGGTCGTACCCATGCATCTGCAATTATTTCAGTGATAAGAAGTCATATAAAGTCATATATATAGTTGAATTGACACGCTTACTACCGGCCAAATAACTACCCTTGCGACCAAAATATATATATTTTTTATTGTGTTAATTCCTGCACAAATGTGTTGTGTTTTATGTAGAGATAGCAAACAGTAAATTTACCTATCGTTTACTGAAAAAAAAGTATCCTCACGTGATCCACACGAGTGAACGTTTACCACGTAATACGTCGGTAGTGTACGTGTTAAGCCGCGAAAGACAGTCTATGCACTTTTATCTCTTTAAAAGTGCGGATACATTTGTGCTTTTTTGCCGTTATGTTTCGATATATGAATGAATGATATTGAAACGGCTACGATTCGATTTTAAAAAAAGAAAGATACTTGAGTGATAGCAACGCATTACCTGCGACACCAAATTATGGAAAGACGGCGCGTTGGTGTCCAATCGATCCAAGTCCGTGTGAAGCGCGAAATCCGAAAGCGCTTTCCACGGCGGCTGATAAGCGTGAACCTCCAAAGCCGCCACCCCGATGGAACTCTCGTGTCTCACGGGGCTGCTGGCAATCATGGGGATCCCGTGCATACCTCCGAAACCCAATTTACGGCCGTCCTGCAATGAAAAGCGCTTCGATCCGTTAGATCGTTCAGCGAAATATCAGATGTCTCGTCGTGCTTGCACTTGTCCTAGTTGCAATTAGTAGTACATACAATTAATTTACTGAGTCGACGTTTGATATTCATTAGCGAAAAATAATACACTTTCCTCTAATGAATATCGGTATACTGTTCTCAATCGCGTGCCTAGCCAGTCGACATCGTAGGTCTCTCACCTTCTCTTGCATTTGTTGCTTCAGGGCGATCGTCTTCTTCTTGTCTTTGCATCTCTTATTTTGGAACCATACCCTGATCACTCGCGGACTCAGTCCGGTCATTTCGACGAGTTGTTCCTTCATAAGGGCGTCCGGTCGCGGATTCGCGGCGTAGCAAGTCCTGAGGGTGTGCAGCTGCTTCTCGTTTAGAACCGTGCGTACTCGTGTTGGCTTCCCGTCGGATCCGCCACCGCTTTTGTGGCCACCTGAGCCGCGAACGCCGCCGACACCGGCCTTGTGCGACCCGCTCTCGGATCCTGAATCTGCAAGAGCAAACATAGGTAGGTCAGTCGATCTTCACGGCGACTTCAGGACTGCGTGAATTACATTAAATGCATCTTTCAAGTATAAAATACAAATTACGCATAATTCAATATGCAAACAAATTATGCAACCTGAGTAGCAAATTATTCCATAACGTCTCAGATTTGTTATCTGAAATGTACTTTTCAGTGTTTTTTGTAATTCAAAATATAAAATATAAATAGCATAAAAATGTATTTTGGAATGCCGATCAAATCTGAATCATTGTCGCGTTGCATTGCGCAAAGACATATCATATGAAATACATATCAGTACAGTGTTTATAAAAATGAATGAATCGTGAAACAAACAAAATTCATTTGGAGAATTGAGCGACTAATTTAATAGATAAGAAAGGAAGAAATGCCGTTGCCGAGATAAATCAACGAAAGCTCGAGAATTGCCGCAAACTTAAATAGCCAACAAAACTTTCTCACAGAAGCAGCCCTTTTAGGAAGATAACCGGATAGTTAACCTCAGTACGAACAAACGTCGAAATAAACTGTCGTTAAGCATCCCCCGGAGATGCGCGAGTACCTCGAGTCTCGAGTAACATTCGGGAAAGGGTCGGATAGAATTGAAGATCGTCGGGATTCCCAAAATTTGGATTCGTTCCAAGTGTCGGGGATTTTGAGGTTCTTCTCGCGAGACAACACTCGAGATCTAATCTCGGGAGAAGCAGCCGGCATACACTATCTGACTCGAGAGATTCACGAAAACCTGCGTACCTTTGGCACCAGGTTGTTGGTTACAAAGCACGATCGTCACAGTCTATCCACCGGCCGAGATTTATTGTATTTGCGAAGAAATCGCATTCGCGAGGCAGAACATCTCGAGCACGAGGCACGAACGAGCGATACGATTCCAGAGTCCGCGACTATCTTCCTAACCGGTCTTGCAAAACGGTCGAGTCCGGCTAATGGGAGATCCGGATACTGGTTCAGCATGGCGGACGAGGGACGCAAAAGGCACCGACGCGACGATCGCCTATACGGACTAACACTCGCGAGAACAGTCAAAAGACAATATTGTCGATGAGCAAACGTGGATCCGCGATTCCTCGATCGTGCCGCGCGACCTTGGAAACCGCGGAGCGTTTAAGCACGGAACACCGCGGCTTGTGACTTACAGTTGAACGTAAGTTATTTGCGCGGAAGGCAGGAGTGATCTTCTTTTGCCGAGGAAAATTATTGCGTCGTTTAACTCTTTCGTCACCAATTTTATTTTTTAAAATACAATTTTTTTCACTTCTCATTAAATACATTAATTTTTTTACTCCTCATTAAATACTTTAATATAATATAATTTTAGCAAAACAGTTTTATGTTTGGCGCCATATAGATAAAGCCGCGGAACACTTGTTTACTGATGTCCCACTGCGGCATTTTTGGGAGGACATATTTGTCCCAACGGTAATAAGTAGAGTGACAGCTGAAGCTGAAGTGTCTGAATGCGCTAAAAAAGCTGTTTATTCAATTGAATAAAGTTTATTATTAATGGTGAGGAAAACACATATATTGCTAGCTTTGGTAGCCGAAGAATTAATTTATCGATTCAGTTTGGAACTATGAAGTTCTTCTTACAGAAAAAGAAATCTAGAAAGCTTGTCTCGTAGACTTACTACGCAAACCCGGAATTACCGTCACCCCTTCTGATTACCTTAGCGGCGATTGAACTACATAAGCGCCACGTCTAGTTTTCAATACGCGTCCCTATGCAACTGGTTCCTAAATTAAAATCCTGCTAAACAATAACTCAGAACAGTGAGTATCGTAGTGATTTTAAAAATAGATTGAGTGGTTTCGTTATGTAAGGGTGAAGCGATATAAAATGATATGAGTTTCGTGTTATTATTGGAAAACTAGAATTATCCAGCTATTCTTAAAATCCTTATACCATTATCCAAATTACCCAATAGTCCTAATAGTCCTTAAAAGCGCCGTTTATTGGTACACTTATCTTGAACGTCCCAAGTGTCACGTTAGACATCGTGTCATCCGAAACCTGGTGGATCCGTCCACAAAAAGACGAAAAGCCAACGAAAGTACAGGAGAACAAACGAAATCCCACTATTTCTCTACGTCCTAACCAAATAGCGATGTTGGTTAGCGAACGGGAATGAAACCGGCGTTGACACGGCGGCATTGTGATAAGAAGAGGAACGAAACCCTCGACCTTTGAAAAACGATTGCATAGATTATACATCACATCTTGGATTCGAGATACTTTGTGGGAAAATCACAATTAAAAGGATACCTGATGTAGGAGAAATCCAAGTATATCCGGATATAATCTAATCTCATGTATCCGAAAAACTATTTCTTTTTAAAGCAGCAAGTTTTCAAACCTCCTGGATTTTTCTCTTATCTTATCAAAACATAAAGAACAATAGACGTCAACTCTTTAAGGCATTTCGTATACACATCAAAAATACATATTTCATTCGAGTAAATGTTACTTGTTTCAACTATTTCATAATTTGTATATCCGCAAATCTTTTATAAGATCTCGTAAAAACATCAAATTTATTCTGAATCCTAGTATTTTTAGCATTCAAAAGTATTGAATTAAAACAAAAAATTGGTTTACTTACTACATAGCAGTCAACCTTTTCTTGAATAAAGTTTTATAATATTCTTGTAAAGAGAATAAATATTTGTTTTGAATATATGATATGATATATGAAATTTCCTCAAATTTCTCATGAACATATTTAAGACTGTTATCAGAAAGAAAATATTTCTTGTTGGAGATAATCATTACTTGAAAGAAGAAAACTGAGTAACCGCTTCTCTTGACAGTAGAATGATATTTTTCTCTGTGTATAGTTATGAGGACATAATATCAGAAATTGTTAAAAAAAAGAAAAGAAGAAACGCAAAATTTATGTCTAATTCGAATGAATCGACAAGGGAAATCATGTTAAATCTGCGAGCGACTTGAAATTTTTCCGTAGATAAATCAAAACTGACACTGTGTAGCGGTTCCAGTCGCGTGAAACATGAATTTCGCGACGGCGAGTGTAATCGTTGCGCTTTTCGCGTAAGCGCAAAAGAGAAAGGACGCGGTTCCTTCTTGTAGAAATTATTAATAACCCGTTATTAATGATTCGGCGGCGCGACAGTATCGCCCGCGTTTCGTCGACGGGAGTCGTCGACGACAGGACATGCAGAGAGCGCGCTAATAAAGAAAATACGAATAAGAGAAAACAGATCGTGCGTAGTTATGCGCGACAGTAGTTGGCAGGGTGGTGTTACATTTGGCACCTCCGCAGCAGTTCCAAAGACACGTCGGGTCACTACCGTCGGCACGAGGTGGTCCAACAATTTTGTGCATAAGGAACGATATTTACGCGCGACCATTTCCATGACGAATCACAATGACAAACACGGCAGAACGTGCGCGCTCATGCTGCCGCACACAGATTATTTGCACGGGAATTAGTATATCGGGTAATTATGCCGACGTTTGTCCTTTGCATTTTGAGGGGGAACAGGTCGGAGTGGAGGTAGGAGAGAGAGCCAACGGTAGCCGACTGTCGCGCGTGTGCTTCACGAGCTCTTCTGCTCTTCTCGATTATCGCACTGCACGATACTAATTGGAAAATTCGCTCGCGTGCTCCTTGTCTTTTTCTTTTGTAAGACCAATGATTCTTTCACGGCCCTCGGCTCGAACTAATAGCTGTCGCTTGAGATTTGTCTCGCATGAGATATTCATCAGACTTTCTCAACTTTTCATTCAAAGTTTGACTCAAATTTTACAGTTGAATTATGATATATGTGACATTTATAATCCTGTCGCTATTCAATTGAAGAACTGCCATCTAACTCTGAATTCAAATCTGAGTGTCTTATTTGAGACGAGTTCTATTAATACGGACCTCAACTACGAATTTGAAGTTCAATATAAGTTTCTCAGTTGAATCGCGATTACAGATATAATGCCAAGTATATTACGTCTCTAACTGAATGCTACAGATCTAACTCTAAATTCAGAGCTGTGTGAATCTCTCAGGTGAAACACGTTTCAAATAACGACGATTATTTGCGGTTACTTGCCAAGTAAGTATTGTTTCTTAGACTTTAATCGACGTTGCCACGCAGTTTCACGCAATTCAGTAACGCGCAGACTCGGATTCGGGACCGGCGAATCTTGAGCCCCTCGTTCGAGTTAATTTGTTCGGTAGCCATCTAACCGGTCAGACGTAACATACATTAATACTAGGCTGCAGGACATTAAGCCCACGTAATCCTGACGTGTAGTGTAGGGCGATGGTCAAGCCTTTACGGTCTTAACGGGCTTCAATTATCAACACCTAATTATACGTCGTGATCCTAACACAACACCGCTGTTAGGCGAGTCCTTTGAGCTTACCCTCGAGCGCGCACCCTTTTGTAAATTTGGTCTTTGTACACGGATAGACTGTGCCTGATAATCCACAGACGTATCCGGCATGTCGCCGATGTACGTCAGAAGCCGAATCTCCTGATCTGTGCGCGCTGTTGTGTACGCGGGACGCGAGGCAGTACAGTCATATTTACGGGCATGATGGTGATTGTAGAAAATCTCGATAGGGACGTTCAATTAAGGATAATTGACGGATAAGCGGGAATAATTTGAGACGATACAAATGTTAATTTCGCAATATCGTGACTCTCAAGTCATCAAAGAGAGAGACAGAGAGAGAGAGAGAGAGAGAGAGAGAATGCGTCATTATTCACGGTTTGCGTCAATCCGTTGATTGAATCAACGATGCGATAGCTAATTAAATTTTGTATAATTATAAAAATTATACGTCACTAATAACGACGTTAAAAATCAATGAGTATGGAGAGGTCGATGCGAGCCGAATGCGGGAATTGGCGTGCGAATCAATTCACTCTGTCGCAGACGTACCATTTTGACAATTGGCGTCGATAAAGTGAATTAATTTGCGTAACAATTTCTGCGTTCGACTCGCGTCCTGAACTTTGTTACTTTGTCATTCGTGATTACCAGCGGCGGAACGCGGCTTTTCACGGACATCACCAGGGAAATGTACGAACATGCAATTTTTTTAATTGCGCAATTCTCTAGCGATTCACGAGGCGCACGTCAAGAGAGATTAGCCTCGCAACGAGAGACGAAGATAGAAACACTCTCGACAAGTGTGTCCTCTCACCTGACATCGAGCCGTCGTTCGGATGCAAATGATGATTGTTGTTCGTCAGAGAGGCGTTGTTGTTGTTCTCGCTGCCGGGTATACCGGTGGCCCCGGTGCAGTGCTTGCCGCCTTCGAGAACGTCGTGATCGTGCCGGCAAAAGAGACCGTCCTGCCTCAGAGCGAACTCGTCGCCGGTCTCGAGCCGCCTCATGCAAGCGCAGCATCGAAAGCACTCCACGTGATAGATCTTGGTTTTCGCCCTCATCACGTAGTCGTTTTTGCTAAAGCATTGGCTACACTTGTCGCACTTGGTACCGAACAACCTGGAACATGCATTTAAAAGAACACATACAGTTCCTCCGTCCGCTCGAATTGATCTCCGCCGAATTAATGGCGCTTAATTCCGACGTCGTAGAGCCGCGATGAACCGCAAGAGTCGAGTCAATTTTTAACCGGTGACTTTCCGCGACGCGGAAGTACATTCAGATGAGAAATTGATCGATGTTTAATTCTTATAAAGGTCTCGATGCAATGTCACGCGAAATTCAGCGTTCGCGATAAATAATTGCCAATGTAAATATCTCATTGAGAAACCAGCTACTGATTACTCCCTGGATACATCAGTCGTTTCGGTTCGGCGATATTAATCTAATACATCTCGCGCTGGATTAAGCGTTGTATTATTCATCGCGCGTCATTGAGTGACGTGATTTGCAACGTTAGATTTGCACCATTATTTACGCTCCATCCTTTATTTATTTGTCCTCTATTTCGTTGCCTCGCGAGGTTGTAAATATTTTTGGCCGACAAAATAAAAAGCTCCGTTCTAAATCCGATAATTGTGAAGTGGAGAAACATAAATTGGGCCAAAGTGACTTTTATTGTCGCATCGTATATTTATTTCTGCGCGCGACACATGCGGAGGGCCAGTTTTTTTTAATAAATAAATTCAATAAATAAACTCGCGGGAACGAGAGAAAGAGAGGGGAAGAGAGAGAGAGAGGGGGGGGGGAGGGAGGGAGAAGAGACAGAGAGGGAACGCGTGGCAGAAGATGTAATGAAATATCCAGTGTACATCGCTGAAATTGGAAAAGTTCGCCGTTATTCGCGGTAATTTGAGTAAAATTGATGGCGGTGTAACGCGGGATTAATGGAGGCCCGTGAGCTGTAATTGACGGTCGCGTTGGCGGCGGACATTTCTATTGTTATCGTTGCCACCGCTTATTTTTCAAAGTCGAGTCGATAAACTTTGCGCGCGCGTTCGCCGAAACTCTCTTCAGGGCGAGCAATTCATCGCTGCGCGCGTGTCGCATAATCGAAGAACGATCGCGCTGATCGCGAAGAGCGCTTCTCGATTTCACCGTTGTCGTTGGATTACAGCGCGCAATTTTGTTTTTTTCTCTTTCATAAATCGAACGAGTTAACGGAAATTGAACGATGACATTACCAGTGGAAGCTTTTTGCAATTGGCGTTGTATCGCCCCGATAGAGAAATATTGTTAATCATAATAATTTTCAATTTTCAACCTTATCGCGTTATCCGCCGCGTAAAAACATACAGACGAAAAAGCTCCGACTGGAAAGCGCTCGCTTTAATATTGAGGCGTGGGGCAAGAAGGACATGCAATTGCAGTGTATCGCATATTATGATCGACTCTAACATCTGGCGATACGCGATGACGTGCTTTCGTCTTTTCTTTACTTTTTTTGCGTAACAATCGCGACACACTTTCGCGAGTGGCCGATCGCCCGATGGAGGAAATGGCTGGCGTCGGGAACACCCAGAAGAACGTGTGAGGAGGGAGTTACTTTGGTAATCTGGACTTTTGAGCGAAAGCGACAGGAACAACAAACGGCCGTCATCGCTGTCGCTCGAATCCGCGACCGGATACGCCAGTCTTCTTCGGGCACGGCGACGTTTCGACGTTCGACGGATCAGCGCAAATAAACCCGCTGCCTCGACGGAGAAAAATATTTGGTCCAGGTCGAATTCGTGCCGATGGGTTATTCGGCGTCATTAACGGCAGCTCGTGGGTGCTGGGAAAGCTGAAGGATCCACCGCGCGAATGCGGTTGCGTCTCTATCTTCGATCAAATAGCAACGTAACGTGGCGCGAAACGGACATCCTGAACTATAACCGGTGTCAGTGTAAGCGCGTAAACTATTTCATCAAAAATATCAATCATGTCAGACTAGGATATGGTCGCGAACAACTACATTTCGCGGACAACATTCTACTGTCACGAAGGAACCGCGACGAAATTCTGGAATCACCGATAAATATTAGGTTGATGCGAGAGATTTGTCAATTCCACATTAAATTTTCGTGCAATATTTGGAAAGAAATTAAAGGAAGAAATAGGAAGTCCTCGTTAAGTGTCTAAAAAAAACATTAATTTAATTTTGTTCGTTTGTTTCGAAAAAATTATTATCGAAATTGAATAATTTCGTTCTCCACGCGAAGCAAATATTGTAGTAAAAATTACGCCAAAATTTTTGTAATCTTAGACTATGCAGAAATACGATCAAAATTACTACATATTTTTTTTACGCACATTTCGCTTTTTACTGCAGAATTATTGCAATTGCATGAGTACTTCTTATGTCTATATATGAGGGTAGGAATATATCTATTTCTATAATAACTTATACTACAGTTTTATCCAATTATAGTCCAGCTTTACAAAAAACATTGTAAAAGAAACCTTTAATGTAATTTTTATTACAGTATTTTCTTACGTGTATTCGACACGCGCGCGCCAAATCTTTTGCATCAACTTATAAAGACACGCGCTGTAAGACACGCTCGTACAGTGAAACTCATCGCGGCTCTCGCGATGAACCTCGTTGACTCGGAAAAATAAACCGAGAGAGACAAGATTTCGGCATTTACTCGTGCTTACGAGCTCAACTCGGCCGACAACGGCCAAACTTTTCGACACCACGTAACCTCGTTACCGCTTCGGCGTCGAGTCACCCACATCCTTTGCGGTTTTGCCTGCAGCATTCGTTGTCGCGCGACGCTACCCCCGCAGCCTATGATATACGTCTAGATCTACGTTCAGATCGTCGCAAATTATGACGCTAACCAGCGACAATTCGCCACGTCGCATCGCCCGCGAACTCAAATCCCGCGAGTCTCGCGCGCGAGTTGCACGCGCTCTTTTTCTCCCTTTTCGCTCTCCTGTTTTTGCGCTCACGCGAGCGCACGCAACCGTCGTGACAGTGACGACGGCGTTGGCATACGGCGTGCATACGATGTGTGCTTGCTGCGCTTCACATCGTATACCTCGGATAAAAATACTCCGAGGCTTTCTCGACCCTGCCCGTCTCCTTCCCCAATCTCCTCCCCTCCTGAGCCTTCATTTCCTTTTTTTCTTCTTCTCTTTTCTCTTTTTTTTCTCTCTCTCTCTTTTTCTCCTTTTCTTCATTCCCCCCCAATCCGAGCGTTTGCAAATGCGTATCGGAAAGAGCGTATCGCGTGTCGCCGGAGAATGTTGCGGCGCACTGACAAGAGGCACGGTTTTGCATTAATTACCATATTGCACCGCGTTCGTGCTGGGCTCTCTCTCTCTCTCTCTCTCTCTCTCTCTCTCTCTCTCTCTCTCTTTCCTTCCCTTCCTCCCTCCCTCCGCTTCTCTTTGTCGAGTAGCCTCTTGTTCCACCTCTTCGAGGAATTCGTTCGCGAGAACCGATACTCGACCCTTGAACGATGACGTGATGCTCGTTTGATGTTATACGTCATCGCAAAATTTCCTCGTTCCCCGTAACGCGCGAAATCAATCGCAATGGCCTCGCGTGTGCATACACACGTGCAAACGGTACCGGCTGACTTTTCGGTGTAAAGCTGCCCTTCCGAGAAAATATCATGACTCTCACCTAACGTAATCCCGCTTGCAGTAGGTCTTGCCGTCCCGCACGAAGCAGGTGCACTTCTCATCCAGGAACTGTTGGCACTCGGCGCATTTCAGACACGCCGCGTGCCATTCCAGATTAGGCGCTACCCTCAGGATCCACTGATCGTGAATTCGGCCGCCGCAGCCTACGCAGAGCGAGCTCCTGCCTTCTGAAACACACACGATTGAGCGCTCAGATCAAAGCATTATCGCCCTAACGAGATAATAGCTGAAAACCTTACTGGATTTAGGCCCAGTTCCACAATCTCCAGTTAACTGGCTGGTTATTCCATTGGACTTGATCAATCGCATTTGACATTAAGAAGAGTTAATCAGAATTAACCAATAACTGTTGGGACTTAACTGATAGTTAAAATTAAACGGATGTTGTGGAACTTTGCCTTAGCTAACTAGAAAAATTCGCTATTTAATAACCTTCTGTCGGTAAATTCGTCGATAAAGTGCGTACAATTAACGCAAATGATAACTGCAGAAATATAGTTTCATAAAACTATTGGAGTGTTTCGCTGCAAGCCTGTATACGTAACGATAAAACATCAAGATGTTATATAGGATATTGTATATTATAAGTTATATTATAGAAGATATTGTATGTTATATGTTATAATTATAGGAGATATGGTAAGTTATAACATTAAGGTTTCATTATGTCACACCGAATGTCCACATCGGATAGCTAAACATGGTCGATAATGTTATCCTTCTTCAATTGTCTCCGGACCCTTCGGGGCTGTTTTGACAGTTCGAAAATTTGTTCAAAACTGATCGTCTTTGACGATGCCTCGTCGGCGGCATTGTTTTATTCGCAGATGATTCTGATCTTTTAAATTCTTAAGAACTGTCACTTCCGATGACCTCACGACGAAGCTTACATCAATGAAAGACTTTGAGATTTGTGTTCCTGTTTGCTTCCAGGAAATTTTATATCGAACAATAACGTGAAATGATAATTATGTTATTTCGAGACGCGCGGGATTGCGATAAAAGTACAAAGAAATATTTATTACGTGATATTCTGTATGTGTATTTGCCAGGCGAATGATACGCGATCGAATTGAAACGTCGATCGATCGATCTTATCCGCCCATATATCGTAACGAGCACTCGTTAGTTACGTATTAATGGGCGAAATAGCAATTAACAATACCTGTATGTCGGCGGAGCCGACAAACGAAAAATAATCAATACCCGGATCTGTCGTCCTCATGCCGCGTTATCACATCGATAAGGCTTTACGCAATACATATCATGGCTGAGGAGAAAGAGTAGCGATAATATATAGTAACTATGATGTCTATATATCTATAGACATCACTGTTTACCATAACATAACATTGTTGTGCTCATTTGTTTGTGTTCAACAACCGATATTTGACGAATTATCCCTACCGTTCCCATCCCTTTTGAAACTTCCACCTTCAGTTATATTTAATAAAAAGAACAATTTCCACTGTTTACAATGTTGAAGATCGCAATTGTTATTGAGAAAGACAAAGATACGAAGTGTGAAGTTAACACATTATATGCCATGCGAATTCTTTTTAGATGGTCGTTTGAAAAATGACAGGAATCTTTTTGCTCAAGTTGACTCTACCTGCACACGCGCGTTGGTGTGTCTTGCGTTAGACACCTGTATAAATCTACCCTTTCCTGTGGATTTGCCACGGCGAGGTCGCCAGCGATCTTCTCGAAAACAATCGCAACTCCGAGCAGCAATTTCGAGGGTCGGAGGTAATGGAAGCAGAAACTGGAGGATAATTCACGGCGCGGCGCGAAAGCGCATTGGCGCGTCCGCGGAAAATCGGCCGGGAGAGGAAGCTTTCACAAAAGCCGAGCGCGCCGGAAAGCCGCTTGGAAATTGGTCGCGCCGCTCATCTCGAGACGCGCGTCACGCGAGTGCGTCTCTCGAGTGCGTGTGCGAAACGCGACGACGTGAGGTGGTGGTGCGCCCGCGGAGGCACATCGGGGAGCATCAGGGGCGTACACGTCTGGGCGGCGCGCATCTCTAGCACTTCGCCGGAACTCCGCCCAGACTCCTGACGACGAAATCGTTCCGTTCCCCGGAGTCTCCCGCCGGATTCTGCGCCGTGCAACGCAGCCGGCGACGGCAGCGCGTCGCGGCCGAGAGAGAATTCGCGAGAGCTTTCGGCGGACGAGAGCCGCTGCTCGCGATTTTGCCCGTTTTCCTCTTTCCCCGTGACACACTCGACGCACACACTCACGCAGGGACGAGAAATACGTCGATGACGTCCCGTGTGAAATTTTCATGAAGGCCGCACCCACCCTTTTGTTCGTCTAACAAAGCGCAGCCGCCCGTGGACCTTGAAATAGCGAAGAATCTTATCGTCATTTTTGGTGATTCCTTAGATAAGATGACGTGCAACGGGATGAATAAAATACGCCACATTGAAATATATTTATACATATTGATAACGTACATAACGTCACGTTGAAATATGTTTGTATATATTGAGGACTTTCTTCCGGTCATTTCTTCGTGTTTTTTAACAAAAAAATTACGTCACTTGAGGGAACTCGTAACGTTGCGGAAACTCGCGATGTGTGGGGAGACACTTCGCATGTGACGCACAACAGGCCCCGAAAACAGAGGCAAAGCACGATCGAGACATTGCGCGAGACAGTAATTAATTTACGGTCCAAGCGTGCTAATTTTCGAAGCAGCACCATAACTTGCACTTTATCACTCGATCGTGTATTAATTTTCTTATCTTCAGCGCATTGAACTGTTGCGCATTGAACATTGTTGCAATTACGTTTATCGACGGTAAATGCAATTAGACGTCAATTGTCAACGCACAAAGTCTACCATCGGAAATAGAGTCAGCTAATAGGTGCAATTAAATGTTAAAGATAAGCCTGTATTAGTATAAAGACTAGGCAGCGTTAGAATATTGTGAGTTCCATAATTTCAAAACAACAATTCTCTTAGAGCGATCGTTATGTCGAGCGAAATCGTCCACGTGCATGTATCTAAGCAGCTATGTATAACTGCGATGACACATTGGAAGAAATTCCGACCTCGAGGTGACTCGAGACAATAACCTTTGGGTCTCGCTTTTTTCTACCTGTCAGCGTCAGGATTATCGGAAAAGGACCAAACCAACACAGTAATCTCAATTAAAGCTCGGTCAGTAACTTATCTCGTCTTCTCGCTTTTCCTTGTCCACGAGCTAGAAAATAAATTACGAAGAGAGAGAAAGAGAGAGAGAGAGAGAGAAAGAAAGAGAGAAAAGGAGAGAATATCTTCGTTGATTAACATTAACGTTAAAAATCGTCGACAAGTTTTTCGGATTTCGCGAATTCTCGTGTAGGACATGTTATTCACGCATGGACCGGGGGAATCTCGCGACCACCATGAAAATTCCCGACCGCCGGTGGATAAGGTCAGGGTGGTGCGCGAGAAGAAAAAGGAACGACCGACGGCGACGGCGGCGGGAGAAGAAGGAGACGGGAGTCACCGAGGCGAGGGCAAGGTCGGCCAGGATCAAAGAGATTCGGACGAGAGGAGAGTGTCGGCGGCATCCCATTAGCTCCCAGAGACGACAACCACCTCGTATCTCGTGGAACCTCGACCCGGTCTGAGCGTAGCCAGCTCGCCTCCTTACGCGAGCCAGCTCGAGCGCGAACGTGTGCTCGCACGGTCTCTCCACTCCCGAAATCATCGTGAAGATACTATCGCGTATTTGTCGCTATTTCGTTACACGTCTCGCTCGCACGTGGGCGAGGCTGATTTAATACAGCCGGTGTATGCTGCGAAGTTACCGGATACGTGACGTATTTCAACCGCCTCGGACCCGTTGTTCAGAGGAATCCCGCTGGAGATCTTTCGAATGAGCCACAGTTTTGAGATCTGAATTATTGTTTTCATCAATTCTTCAACTGACATTCACGGCACTGCACGGCATACATTATTATTGCGAAGTAATACATTTGCGCGCTGCTGATTCGTCACAGTTCTAACGGCGGAACGAGTCTCTTCTGATGGAAAATGTAGGCGCAATTGTGCGACAACGCCGAAAGCTACTAAAACTTGCACTATATGCCGTATCTATGTTCATGCTGTCCAACGCAAAACTGAAAATCTTCAGTCGCATTTGCAGATATGTGACAGGGTTTCCCCGTCAATTTATCTTGATAGAACGCGAATAATTCATAAAGACGGTTTTCTCTCTCCTTTCGTTTCTTGGTAATGAATTGGTAATTAATTTTTAACGACGACTCATTTCCGACATGGCAAATTATTGGCGTAGATCGCGCTGCGCCGATATCAATAAGAAGTGACGCGCCGATCGACAGATTACAATTGCAATTTGCAGTTTGAGAACGTACTTAAAACTTCCGCATGATGTGACAGGAACCGTGATTATCATCCAATTATGGATGATGGAAATCTTTTAGTACATTCCAGCTTAATTCAGGTTTTAATGTTGCAATCAGATATGGCGCGTTGATTGATATTAGTAGCGGCACTCTACTATCGCATATCGAACTTTAATCTCATTTCACCTTACACAGTATAATTTCATAAATTTAACTTCGCATTCGATCCTAGATACGACCGCGTTCGTTTTATCCCGAGTTTTCTGTATCTAAAAAACGGAAAATCGCATTTATTTTTACAACCGAGTTGTAGCTAATGTATTATTATACATTACACTATATTTGATATACAGTCTACGTAATATTTTGGAAGACCGATTACTGTAATTTTGGAAACGCAACACATCTTTGTCATAACAAGACAGACATGGACATATGTTTCGTTTGCGCGTTTACTGTGAGAGAAAATGTAGAAAAGGAGTCGCACAAGATATTCCTCTCAGAACACAGATTCTCTCTCTTGAGAGCTTCATTGAAATGCAAACGGTCAAAAATGCGTCTGAAAAGTTTCAATGAAGGAATTCTGATAACATTGCCAACTTGCCCCCGCTGATTAATCATCGGCAGCGTCCGGAAGGAGTTAAGGATACATCAACGCAATGTAACCAGCGCACACTATATAAGTGTCTATATGTACAGCCCCAATCCCCGACATAATTTATTCAAAAAAGAAATGCATATAGGTAGAGTTGTCGATAAAGACGGAGGGGAATGCTGTTCGGCCTTCGTCACGATTGATCGGTGGCAA